CATTACACCGGTCCGTGGCGCAAAAAAGGTTGGGGACCACTGCTCTAGAGTGAAACAACAAAGGTACAATGCCTAGGCAAAGCAATGGCAGAGCACTCCTAAAAAGCTTCTGATAATCTTTAAACAGCAAAACAAACTAGGCCCCACAAATTTACTGCCATTATCTTCACCACTAGAACAGCAGGAACATATTTCCAGACACTTGGTAGCCAAAACAAAACAAAACGTATGATGTAATGATAGAAAGGTGCTATACAAGTACAGTTTTGCTTATGTACTTAGAAAGTATACTCCATTAGATGTTACAAACTCATCGATGCTGGGTACTGGAATTTACACAAGCCTTAGAAGAAAACTGAAAATTACTGGAAGCAGCAGCAGTCATGCCAAACTATAATATGCTGATCACTGTAGTTTGTTCAGTGAGTATGGTTTGATTGAATTGGTTTCCCTGATATAGGAATAGGGAAGGGTTTCAAAGTACCAAAAAAATCATTAGTTGCTGGTTTTAATTTAAATGTCTTATTAGATCCAAGAGTCCAAGAACAAATTTATATTTTCATGTGAAACCTCGAGAAGGTCATCAGAGTCAGAAAAGTATTGAAAAACATTTGAGTCACCAGTTTACTCCTAGACCACTTTAAAGGTAATACAAAATAATATTTATATTTATATTTCAATCTTCGAAAGACCCCAAAGAAGATCTAGACTCTTTACAGCATTATATTGGTAAGTGTTTGGGGTGTGTTGTTTTGGGAAAACCAGGAAACAAGGTGCCAACTCCATCCAGTTGCAACAGGATGCCATCTACAAAGAGAAGCAACGAAGACTCTCCACAAACCAGTGAAACAATGGACATTTTGGGAGTAGAATTCAGCCAGCAGCAAGTGGAAATACTCTCTGCTAAAAATGTGGGCCTCACAGAGTTTTGACGTTGGTGATCACTGAGGACATGACCAGACTTAAGGAAGAAAAAAGATCCAACTGTTATTGAACTCAGGCCTGCAACATGAGTGATAACCTCGTGTTACTGGGCCTTGCATCACAGAGAAGGCAGAAGAAGACCAAGTAACAAAGGTAAGACAGTTTATCCAAGACCCACGTGGAACTCCCAGACAACACAGTAAAAACCATCACCTTCCATCTTTTCAACCATCTGGAAGCAAATGGATGGACAAGCTGGGAGGAAAGGACTTCAGCATCAAAGACCAAAGATCAAAGGAAATTCTGGAGTGACACAAGGTCCTTTCCCCGATCAGCCTCATCAGTGGAGGCTCCTGAGTTCTCATTGTGGTCTATATCTGTATGTCAATGGGCAGCTCTATTGCAATCAGAACACCACTCCAGGGCTGAACTGATCCTGAATCAGGTGATTAATATCCACACAAACACCTTTTTTTCTGATTCCCTCTCTTCACTTTCCTTTTCCACTGATTTATAGACAGTGTTAGGAAGGTTACTTTTAAAATGTATTCCACTACATATTACAGATTACATGCCCCAAAATGTATTTTGTAACGTATTCCGTTACGTTACTCAGTGAGACTAACGTATTCTGAATACTTTAGATTGCTTAATATATTATCATGCTTTTTTACAACTAATGAATGTCCTAGTGCTGTGTGATTTATTACTATTACTGAAGTCTACTCACCATACCAATACCAACTAGATTTTTAAATCTTAATATAAATGAGTAACAGTAGGGTGGATATTAGGTAAGGCTGCACTTTTTGCAGCGATCTCGTATAGAAAACTATTCCGTGCGTATATAAAACAGGTCCGTGGCTCCAAACCATAATAAAGGGACCTCTGGCTAATACGTCGGGTTTATGTCGGGCTTGTAGCCGAAAACTAGCTTTATTTTGTTGTCTGGGTCAACTTTGCTAGTGAGAGACAGAGAGAGGCGTTGAAAGGCTGCTCCAACGGAACTTACTGTTTCGGCGGAAAACACGAACACAGTGTACAGTCGAGTCTTAATAGCTTACTTAAGACTTAAGACTTTGGCTGCAGTGGTTATAATTATATTTACATGCTTCAAGCTCCCGTTTCTGGTTGGTGACAACTCGTACTTTTCCTTTTTCTCCCTCCCTCGCTCACAGACACATGACAAGTATGGCAGTCCATTCTCTCTGCAGCACGGACTACACTGCCCATCAGGCTACAATCTTTAGGGCTATGCCTGTAACACTCTGCCTAATGCGTGTTTTGTTTGGGTTTCCACCGGCGTGGAATTACCAAAAATAGAGAGGGCATAGCCTAACATATGAAACAGGAAAAGACCAACGTGTAATCCATTTATTTCAACAAAGTAACTGTATTCTAAATACCACTCTTTTAAACGGTAACTGTAACGGAATACAGTTACTCATATTTTGTATTTTAAATACGTAACGGCAGTACATGTATTCCGTTACTCCCCAACACTGTTTATAGACATGTCAGGATAGAACAATTAATGTTGGTTTAGTCAATATAGCATAGTTTTTTTTCTGGTCTTTTTTTTGTTATTGTTGTTGATTTTCAGGTCACTTTGGAGTGATTCATTGATGCGTCCGCTGTTTTATATATTACTCTTTATGTCTTATCCTTTCTCTTTCTGCACTCAGCAGTATGTTTGATCTGCCTTCAGTCCTGCTCTTTAACTACAAAAACACATACACAACCCAACCAGTCAGTCAGTCAGTCAGTCAATCAGTCAAACCATGACCACACTGAGGTTTGCCACATGGAAACACATGGTCTGTTTTCCCTGACAGTTGGTTTCAGGGAAAAGAGACTAAAATTGGTGAGAGAGAGAGAGAGAGAGAGAGAGAGAGAGGTTTGTGCATTCTTTACCAAAGTTCTCGTGGTTGGCACTGCCCTCTAGTGGTCCAAGCGAAATATTTGTATTTATCAGCTTGTATTTATCTGTTCCCTCTTCTGCTGTTTGTAGCTAATGATATCAGGATTTTCACTTTGATCCCTCAGTGAACAGAGTTTAGACTGGTTAGAGCACTGAGCCTAGCTGAGATCCAGTGGAAAAGGAAATTTACGAATGATTGGATAGAGTTTTCTATCTGTCACCGCTAATCCTCAGCCTGCTTTAATCTGTGTTAATCCCAGACTTCATAGTGTCAGTCATCTGCATTGTCTCTGCACTACTAATCTCACCTCTGACCCAGAATCATACTTACAAACACAGACAGGAGCCATTTCAACAGCCACAATTCACTTTACTCATCCATTGCTTACTTACCGGTAGTTAATAATTCAGCTCAATTTAATTATATATTATATATACAGCGCCACATTGCAACAGCAGTCACCTCAAGGTAGTAACAAATAAATCAATAAACAAATAAAGGCACATCATGATGGGCGCTAGGACAGTTTATGGCCCACCAAAGTCAATTTTAAATGTATAACTATGGCTTCACATCTAAATTGAATTAATTCTTGATTATGCTCTTCAATTTTATATTGAAGAGCACAATTTCACAGTTTTATGAAATTCAGCTTTGTAGTTTTTTGTGTAATTTTCCTAATCAGCAAACAAGCATTGAACACATTTCACCACTGAGTTGCTTCAAAAGAACAAGCTATAAAACATAATGTGATGTGATAACCTGCATTGAGGATCAAGAAAATTTTAAAAGCAAAGTCATAAAATGTAATATTTTCCTTTTAATTGACTCTTTCTTTTTTTTAATGTAGTCGATCATACATGATAATGTATCCAGTGTTCCCCTGTTCATCAACTCTACATAAAAGCTACTGAAATAATAAAAGTTACTATAATAGAAAATAAAGTCAAGGTAGATCTTAGTTTTGGTTAGAGTTTTGATTCCTGTATTTGAATTTGTGTCCAAAAGTGCAGGCAAAAATGGAATATACACTGTAGAATGTGACAATCAATAATACCAAGCCAGCCACACTGTAATGAGTACAACATTTATTTATTTTTTAATCAGGATCTGAAATGACTGAGGAAATGTAAGCTGTAAACCATCTGCAGAACTCGTGAGTTTAAAAGAGTGCATCACAACATATTTTTAAAAAGAGAGGTTTTTATCTGTGTGTTTCAGTCTGCAGTTCAGAACCGGAGAACATCCAGGTGGCACCACATAACCTTAGCAGCCTGCTGGTGACATGGGAAAGGCCACGGGCAGTGTATGACTCCAGCATCGACAAGTACTCAGTCAACTACAGACTAGCTAGTACAGAGAATGCTGTCTCATCTGAATACCTGACTGACGGAGACCAGGATGTGGTGAGAGAGCAACCAACAGTTAATAATATAAAAAACATTTTCTCTTAAATTTTGTGATATTTTCCATCTGTCCGTCCATCCATCCATCCATCTTCTTCCACTGATCAGGGGCCGGGTCATGGGGAGCCAGACAAGGCAGAGAAGCCCAGACCTCCCTCTCCCCTACCACCTCCTCCAGCTTGTCCAAGGGAACACCAAGGCATTCCCAGGCCAACCGAGAGATATAATCTCTCCAGCGTGTCCTGGGTCTGCCCCGGGGCCTCCTCCAAGTGGGGCATACCTGGAACACCTCGCCCAGGATGCGCCCAAGAGGCATTCTTGTCAGATGCCCAAACTATCTCAACTGGCTCCTTTCATTGTGGAGGAGCAGTGGGTCTACTCTGAGCCCTTCCCAGATGGCTGAACTCCTCACCCTATCTCTAAGGGAAAGGCCAGCCAACCTTTGGAGGAAGCCCATTTGTGCTGCTAGTATCTGCACTACCCACAGCTTGTGACTGTAGATGAGGGTAGGGACGTGGATAAACCAGTAAATTGAGAGCTTCGTTTTTACATTCAGCTCTATCTTCACCATGACAGACCAGTACAGCGTCCGCATCACTGCAGCTGCAGGACCAATCCATCTGTTAATCTCTCACTCCCTTCTCTCATCACTTGTGAACAAGACCCCGAGATTTTAGTTTAATTCACTTGGGGTAAGAAGTTGTCCCTGACCCGAAGTGGGCAATCCACCCTTTTCCGGCTGAGGGCCATGGCCTCAGATTTGGAGGTGCTGATTCTCATTTCCACTGCTTCACACTCTACTGCAAGCTGTTCCAGTGCGAGCTGGAGGCCATCATACATTAAGGCTAACAGAACCACATCATCTACAAAAAGCAGAGATGTTATTCTGAGACCACCCAAGTGAAAGCCTCCCTCCACTTGGCTAGTTCTAGAAATTCTGTCCATAAAAAAGGGCCTGTTGCAATGGGTCAGACATCCCATACTCCTGAAGCACCTCCCACAGAACACTCTGAAGGACATGGTTGAATGCCTTCTCCAAGTCCACAAAATATATGTAGACTGGTTGGGCAAACTCCCATGCACCCTCAAGTATCGTTGAGAGGGTAAAGAGCTGGTCCAGTGTTCCACGACCAGGACGAAAACCGCATTGTTCCTCCTGTATCCGAGGTTCAACTAAAGGACGGACTCGCCAGCACCATGGCATAGACTTTCCCAAGGAGGCTGAGGGTGTGATCCCCTATAGTTGGAGCACACCCTCCGGTCCCTCTTCTTAAGTATCCGTCGCATGACAGTTTGCCAGAATTTCTTCCTTTTCCATGGCCTCTCCAAACTCCTCTCACACCGGGTTTTTGCTTTAGTCACTGCCTGAGTCGCGTTCTGCTCGGCCTGTCAGTACCTATCAGCTGCCTCTGAAGTCCCGCAAGCTGACCAAGCCCAATAGGACTCCTCCTTTAGCCTGGTGGCTCCCTTCACTTCTGGTGTCCCAACATTTGGTTCGGCGGTTACTACCACGACAGGCAGCAACCACCTTACAGCTGCAGCTCAGTGCAGTGGCTTCAGCAGTGGATGTGCTGAACATGGTCCATTCAGACTCAATGTCCCCAATCTCCCTTGGAACGCTGTTGAAGCTCTGCCTGAGGTGTGAGTTGAAGATCTTGCAGATCGGACCTCTGCCAGGCGTTCCCAGCTCACCCTCATTATACATTTTGGTGCGTCAGGTCTGTCCAGCATCCTCCCCCCCACCACCTGATCCAACTCACCACCAGGTGGTGATCAGCTCAGCCCCTCTCTTCACCCAAAATATTTCCACAGGTCTGGTGATACAAAATCAGTCATCAACCTGCGGCCTAGAGTGTCCTGGTACTACATGCACTCATTTACACCTTTATATTCGGATGCCATTGGGCACCCTACCCGGGCCTGGCTCCAGTGAGGGGCCCTGGAAGGGTGAACTGTTCCCTTGAACTTATTCGATTCAATTCAGTTTTATTTATATAGCGCCAAATCACAACAACAGTCGCCTCAAGGCGCTTTATATTGTACAGTAGATCCTACAATAATACATACAGAGAAAAACCCAACAATCATATGACCCCCTATGAGCAAGCACTTTGGCGACAGTGGGAAGGAAAAACTCCCTTTTAATAGGAAGAAACCTCCGGCAGAACCAGGCTCAGGGAGGGGCAGCCATCTGCTATGACTGGTGACTTATACTCATAGGGGTCTTTTGAATTCCTCATTGTTTGGTCCCTTACCCAGGACCAATTTGCCATGCGAGACCCTACCAAGGGGGACAACATAGCCCCTGGAATCCCTGGAACACACAAACCCCCTCCACCACGTTAAGGTAGCGATTCACAGAAGGGGTGATATTTTCGCCAATTATATTAACCATTGACCTCTATGAAGCCTGAATAAGCAGCTGTTGCACAAATGATAATCACCGAACCTCTAAGAACTGTGCACTGTTTACTACTACTAAAAACTGTCTTCTCAAAAAGGTGTTCACTAGGCTGCTCAGTGTTTTTGGTGTGGATTTAATGGTAAATAATTCTTAGCCATATTGTCATTCCATAGTCTAGGGAGTATGTTGAAGTTCACCTGTAGGCCAACACAAAAGTATCACCCTGGATTTTATGTTAGACAATAAACTTTGTGTTGAAATAAAAGTTTTATGACACTTCCACAATATGTGCAAGATACTTGCCAAAAGTAAAATGTCTTTTTTGCCAAATGATGAATGTCTGCAACAACTTCTGTGGTGTTTAATTGCAAGGTAGCAAATTAAATAAGTCTTGGACACAGAAAATATTCAGCATTAATATCATTAGGTGATGAGGTAAGGATGCTTACTTACACTCATTAGACACTTTGTTAGGTGCACCCATTGAACTGCTAGATAATGCAAATATCTAGTCAACCAAATCACATTGCAAAAGATGAACATTTTCTCAAAACAGAAAATATCCAGAGAGTGGCATGTGTTTGGGTGAAAATGCTGGTAATGCCAGAGGTCAGAGGAGAATGGCTAGAATGCTTTGAGCTGATAGGATGGCAACAGTAATTTAAATATCTACTGGTTATAACCGAAGTATGCTTAAGAGCACAGCATGTTGAACCGTGAAGAAGATGTGTTACAGCAGCAACAGAAGAAGGCGACAATAGTTGCTGCTGTCAGCTAAGAACAGGAACCTGAGGCTATAACTTGTAGGGGATCACCAAAGTAGGACAGGAACAGACTGGAAGAATGATGTTTGGTCTAATAAATGTAGATTTCTGCTGCAAAATTTGGATAGCAAAAATCCAAATTTGGTAACAACATGTACCTGCCATGTAAAAAGAGCCAGCAAATCTGTGGCAGCTGCATGATGCTGTCATGTCATATGGATCAAAATCTCTAAGAAATAGGTATAGGAATTTGTCTACAACAGCGGTCCCCAACCCCTGGGCCACGCACCGGTACCGGTCCATGAGTCGTTTGGTACCGGGCACTATCCTAGTTTTAGGATAGCTGTAACATTCACTTGTACACTGTACTTTGACCATGGTTTAACTCCTTGTGAGTGAAATAAAGACATGCAAATGACTGTAGAGAATGGAAGTAGGTAATCTTGGCACTGATGTGATATTCTTTCACCAGGGTGCGATACTTGATGACCTCTTGGCCAACACCAGTTATATGATCCAGGTTGTGGCGGTGTGCTCCAACGGTCTGTACGGACGTTCAAGCAACCCATTGATGGTTGTCATGCCCATTGACAACCCTGGTAAGAGCAAGCGTGCCCATCACCAGGCATAACCACAAAATCTATTAATTGTGAAATAGTAAGGCTAGTGAAAATTGTGACTTTATGACAAACCTGCAAGATAGCCAAACCTGTATATTATAAAATTAATTTGTATTGAACCTTTACAAAGTGTAAAATAATTGGTTAACACTTAGTAATGTTATTGGTCACATTACTATTACTAAGTCATCATTTGACCATATTTTAAATATATTCCAGTCACTTTTACATATTATTAATAATTAATAATTTCAATTTCCTCTAATAACATTTTTTTATTTCATTCAACATTTTTATTTACTATGGCATTTTATTGGTTTGTTTTTATTTTCATAATTTTCTTTTGCTATTCGCTCTTTACATTTTTCTGTTGTTTTATGGTCATAAATGGAATACTCTGCATTAGAAGATAAAAGCTTATAAATTACCACACACTAACAAGGTCACTTTTGTAACGGAAACATCTGGATTTGGTTGAGGCTAGAGAATTTTTTTTTCCCGTCTAAAAGGGTTTTGTTTAACCTTACTTAACACAAAGACCTGAAGCTGAGGAAAAACTGCTTCAGCCCTTCAAACTAACTAAATTGTTACTGAAATATGATCATTAGGGTGCAATTAATTAACTTTTTTGGTTTCTTACACATTTTTCTTTGTAAACAATTTATCAGAAATATTTGTCCTCGCCTAAATCCTAAATAAATATTTCTTGTGTTTTTCCTCATCTCCTTTTCACCCTACCCATTTTACCTTCCTTATGGTTGTACACATGTAACTGACTACATTTGATTTAACACACAAAAACATGTTTCATCTTGTCTGTGTTTTTAACTGTTTCTTTAGATTCTTAAAATATACTCTTCCTGTATTTAGAGTTAAACAATATACTTGGTTTAAAGAGTCATTTTTAGTGTTGCAAAGCTGCCATCTTTGTTTTGCTGTCATTCACATTCACATGGCATCTGTTCTGCTTCCCAAACCTTTTGTTTTTGCAGCCTTTTGTTTAGTGAGGACTGGATTGACAGTTATAGTGACTTTGTATTTCAGCTGAACTTAATAATAAATAAACCGATATGTGTTCTTACAATCAAAAAGATGAAGTATCCTATTATCCTTTATCTTATTGTAACATTCTTCAATATTCATTAGATTTACATAAGTGAATTTTTCCTAACTTGGGTTTTGGATACATGCTAACATTCTGGCAGTCATAGCTGCCTAGAAATAGTTCTGTCACAAAAAACCATTATATTGTAGGGTCTCTACCTTCTAAAGTGCCTTGAGGCAACTGTTGCTGTGATTTGGCACTATATGAATAAAACTGAATTGATTATGGCATTTACAAGATTGTGAGGAATAACTAACAAGGCAACGTTTTACTCACATTTAAAATTAAAAAAATATTTCAGATCAAGTAAAGTGTATAGCATAACTTTATTACTGGACTGGTTGCGCAGGTCCTATCATGCTACCACACTGGAATTCACTGAGCTCCTGAGAGCAAACCATACATGATTATAGTAGGAATTTTACGATCACCAAATGAAGTACGTTCAAAATACAATTCCTGTACAGAAATTTGCAAAAGTGTTATTTATGATCTATAATGATGATGATATGTGTTCTAGGAAAAAATACTGATATGTATTTCATTTGTAAATGCCATGGTGCTAATGTTGATAAAGTTAACACACATTTCCCTGAGTCTTCTCCATCAAGCCTGTTTCTTTAAACTTGTAAAACCTCACTTCATGCTTCACAAACAAGTCTGATCTGGTCCTTGTGGTGTGTCATTTAGCTTCAAACAGGTAAGAGCCACTAGCCCACCATTTACACACCTGCCCCCTTAAATCCCCACTGTGTGCTGTCTCTGAGTTCAGTCAGCTTGTGCAGCATTAGCAGATAACTCTCCTTATGAGTTTGTTTTATTCCCCTTAGGGAACAGGTGGATCCAGTCTGAAAACAAAAGTTTGAGACAATCGGAGTTAAAGAAGTAACTTGAAAGCTTTTTGTTCAGATTCCTTTCTGTAACTTGTCTAGTTTTACAAGGATGAAACAGGAAAAACTACAAGTTGCAAATGCTTTATGTGTTTGTGTCTTTTGGGGATAATTCCTGCATGCAGGTACCTGATATGTTGTCACCATTTGTTTTTTTTCATAAATTGTCATTTTATCACATGTAGTTGTCTGAATAATCCTCCTCTTTTTCATATTCTCCATATGGTTTTTTGTATTGTCCTTTTTTCTATCCTGAGTGACACATTCCCATTCTGATTATTGGTCCTAGAATAACAAAACTAAATGAAAGGATTAATTGTCCAGGAGCTTACCTGTTCTTGTCTGAGATGTTTTTGTCTGTGTTTCCAATTTGTTATGACCTTTGTTACCTATTTCTGCTTTTTCAGCATTTTCTTTCTTTGAACATTGTTTTTAATTCTGGAAATTTAAAATAACATGAATATAAGTTGAAGGAAACTTAAAGCCATCCTGAAGAAAATTTAAGCTAGAGTTATTTTGAAATCAAGTGATTTATTCTAGTTCTTGTTTGCATTGTATATAACTAATGTTGCATTCTGTTCCCTTTCTAGAAAATGCACTGGATCCAGCTTCTTATGAATATAGTAATGAGGTAAAAACAAAAATCCTTTTCCCCATCTCATTGTTTAATTGTAGAATTACTGTTACTTGTCAAAGTCTGTAAACCATACTTTTACCAACAGGTCAAGTATGATCCAGATCTTACCTGGGACGAAATAGGACAAACTAAGGACTACGATCTGGATTGGAGTGCAACAAACTTGCAGAGGACAACAACTTCTGAATCACCTTTTTTGCTTTTGCCTACTATTAGAACTACAACAGTAGAGTCGGGCCACAGGAAAGTTTCCAAGGATCCAGTTCCTCCTCTTAGATCCACTCAATCTGGTCAAGTGTTGAGCAATTCTGAAGAGATGCAACAACATAGTACCTCCATGTGGTCACTAGAAATGACCCTGCCACCAGAAACAAGGGGAAGAGCTAACTTCAATGCCAATGCTCTGTTTAATTTAACCAAAACAACCAAAGAAAACTCACTTCATACCACCACTGCTCCTTTGCACCGCACGATAAAAATAGATGGTGTTCATGGAGGCATTACCCTAAACGGAAAAGGCAAAATAAAGGGAGGTATAAGTACCACTGCTCCCACAGTCACCACTTCAAAGGCTGATTACATTAATAGAGGATTAAGTCAACAAGATTATTCTGGAAAAGTAACTACCACTACTCCTACAATTACCAGTGCAAAGACCAAAGAAGGTAATGTTTCTCAATCAGGCAACACTGAAACCAATGTCATGTCTCATATAAGTAATGTGAGCAGCACAACATCGTCTTCTACATCCTTCATCCAAACCAAGACTGATCCACGTTTGGCACGCCCAACAAACAAAGACAACACCACTGATAGAAGTCTTTCTACTAAGCCCAGAGGTATTCCAGAGATCCAGGCAGAAAGCTCAACTTCCAAACCTTCCTCTTCACCTACCAAAACATCTGTCCAATTAAGCCGCATTCTCGTGCAGACCACAAAGCCACTGTCCAATGGTGAGAGCCTATTTGTGTTCCCCTCAACTTCCTCCTCCTTCACCTCCTCTCCTTTGTGTGACGCCGTGGATTCCAGCTGTGCCTCTTCCACCTGCTTGCATGATCCTACCTCCTCTTGGCCTGTATTGTCTCCCTTGGACTCACAGCTTACTGCTACATCCCTGTCACCTGTCAAAGACCCAGTTTCCCAGGCTTCAGTCTTCACGCTATCTGCCTCTACCCTGCCTTACCTCCCTCACCCCTCACACTCCCTGTCTGGTTGGGCGACTGACCCTGTCTTTCATGGTGTTGGGTTTGATGATACTGATAGCAATGATGATGTGTTGTCTGGATCTTCAAGTAATCCCTCAGTATTTAGCAGTACACCTCCACTCCAAGCACTTCTAGACCCGTCTGCTATTGTTTTCACCACCAAGCTCTCTGAATCTTCCTGGGATCAGTCTCTCTCAGCAGCATCTCTGTCTGTCATCCCCACCCTAGAACCTTCGGTTCATCTGTCTAGTAACCGCTTCCTTTTTGACCCTACCCTGGGATTATCTAGTTCTTTCTCATCTGTTTTTGACAATTCAAGATATGCCACAGGGAAAACAATAGAGACTTTTCTCAAAGAGGGCAGTGGTGACAGGTTTCCATTAGTTAGCGATGTGCATGCCCTGTGTGACTGCTCTTTGGAGCCATCAGCATCCTCCCCTTGGTTGCATTTGTTAAATGTTGAATTGTCCTCCTCAGCCTGGGACTCTATAAGTTTAGAGCTTTACTCAAGTTTGGGCTTCCTTTCAGCCACTCATGTTGACTTTGACAATTTTCTACACTCTTTATCTGTGGTGGGCTCTGATGGTCTGTCCTTAGGTCAGCCACTGTCATCCCATAGTGCTATCTTGCCTTCATCATCTTCTTCACACTCCCAGGTTCTCCAAGCCACCCAAAGTGACCTGCCAATTTCTGTTGCAGCCACAGCATCTGCCATCATGGAATCCTGGTTCTCTGTATCATCTGTGCTAACTCCTTCACCCACAGCCTCCCCCACCACTCTCGCTTCAGAGGGACAGGTGATAGACACCAGTACCAGTGCATCTGGCTCAGGCCTGTTCCCCGACTCCCAGGAGGGCATAGATCAGGAGTGGGACATGGTTCAAACTTCAACCTCTGGGGAGAACACGCTCCCTTACTCGATGAACGTTATTAGCAGTGCTTCCCCATCTAGCTCCTCAGAGGCTGGCCAGAACCCAGACGATCTGGATGAACACTCCTCAGCATTTTATTTTGAAAGTGAGAGTAGCAATGCATTGGGCTTCGAGGTAGGAGACACGACAACGGAAGCAGTAACCTCTGCTTCACATTGGTCGCTAGGTAGGGAGGATGGGAGCAGCTCAGGGCAGAGTGAAAGCCTCTACGACAACGAGACATCTTCTGACTTCAGTATCTCTGAGCACACAGAAAGGGAGTTGACAGAAGAGGAGCCAGTAGCAGGTAAAACAAAACAAAAAAAAATCTACCAGTGCGCGGGGGACAAAAACTTCACTGCATTTGCAATTTTGCCCTGGAAACTAGGAAACACATGCTTTGTTAGAAAGAATTTTGAACATCCAAAAGACTAATCTACTTCTCTTCATTTTTAAGAGAAGAAAAAGAAAACGTCATTTATAATTTCAGTCTGTTAAAGCAAAATAAAGAAAATTCACTTAACTATACAGGCCCCTTAACTATAATGAACCTTTCATTACATTCTTCACTATTATTTCAGATATATTTATCTTAATAGACTGCATCCAGCCATATTTTTTTTTTCAAACTGCATATCAGGGATGTAAATAGCTCCACTTCCATGTGAAGTATTTTTCTTATTTAATATAATTCTAATGGAGCCTCTCTGATGACATGTGAGGCAGTAAGATATTCATGTCCACTAATAAAGAAGAAGATGCGAAAATGCAGGAGCCCTAAACGCTGCAGTACATTTGATGACAGAATAAAATCTTTTAAAGAGGCCACACTATCATGAGATAGAGACAGAAAGTTAAAGAATATCCTGACAACAACCAAAATTATTATTGTAATTTAAAAAAAAAAAAATGATGACATGTTGTCTAGCTTTGGTCATCAAGGTTTAGTGATGCTCAAAAACCCTAAACACTGAAATGCCTTTTCAAATGTTGCTTGATATGGGCAGCAGAGGGCAGCAGAGCTGTTTTGATCTTCAAAGTGGTTCACATATCTATATTATCTTTATATTGTCTCAGCTGTGCTATGTATAGGTTGTAAATATCAGTGAAAAGTGATTTAAAGTTGTAGTATTTACAAAGTAAATCAAGTAATGAATAACAGAGAAAGATTTTTCCCTTCCTGACAGGCTTTGATTTTTAGTTTATTTAAATGAAATTCACATTGATCTTATTAATTTCTTGCTGCAGGTGGGTAATATCATAATTATTATTCCCATTACTTCAAAGTTGCATAATAATAATAATAATTCTTTAAAAAACTTGAAATATAATTTTTTTGTTGGTTGGATTTTTCTTTTTCTTTTTTTTAAAAATTTCATCCATAAAGCTTTGTTCGTCAAAGTGTCCTTGAAAATACCAAAATTCTATGATTAAAAAAAAAAAAAAAAAGGTTTTCACATGGTCTTGTTGTAGAAGGTCTTGGTGTGTTACTGCACTAATAACAACAAAGGCCAAATGTTTGCAAATGGAAAATAAAAGTAGTGGGTCACTCCTTTTATTTTATTTTTTTAGAAGTAATTTGAGGTCATTTGATCTGTGTTGTATGATGTGTATTGAACATTGCCTTGACTTTTCTTTCAGATAAACTAAAAATAAGGCCTGCCTGGTAGCTAAATATATGCTAAATATATGTTAGGGGGAAACCTCCAACCTTTTTATTCATTATATTTGTTAAGAGGGGGTTTTAAGAGTGTTGGTTCCTTAAGTCACATATTTGATTTGATTTTTAATTTTTTGAGTTGAGTCTTCTATTTCAATTTCCTCATTGAATTGACTAATATTTTTCATCTTCTAGTAATTAGTCCAAGGTTTAAAACCAGCATAAAAAGGTGTGCTGGATGAATGATTGGATGAATTGGTTTTACTTTTAAAGCGCACCACAAACTCGATATGAGCTGGTTAACAGGTCTGACCCACTCACTCATGACAGTACAGGGTCAGTCTGTGCAGAAAAGGTCTAGCAAACAGCTTTTCAGTCATGTGTAGTTCACACTATTGTTGTTTTTACAGGCTGTCAGAAAGGATGGTTTAGTGGCTAAATTCAATTCAATTTTATTTATACAGCGCCAAATTACAACAACAGTCACCTCAAGGCACTTTTATATTTTAAGGTAAATCTTACAATAATACAACAGACAAATGCAAGCGCTTTGGCAACAGTGAGAAGGAAAAACTCCCTTTTAACAGGAAGAAACCTCCCGCAGAGCCAGGCTCAGGGAGGGGCAGCCATCTGCTGCGACCAGTTGAGGTGAGGGGAGCTGCTGAGTGACCTCAGGTTCAGCCATCATAGGTTATGTACTTTGAGGAATCAGTGATGGACTTTTCATTAAAGGCTTTTGTGCCTCCCTGTGTTTCAAATGGTTTGGCAGGTGTTTTTATCGTGATGAATTTTGTATTTGTACAGCACATTAGTCAATTTTGAATGAGGGAGAGCATTGTGTTTTGAGATATAAATGTGTTTTTTTATTCTAAAATAGATATTAGAGGTATGAGAATGTCCGACGTTGTTTCATAAACACTTTGAGTAAGCCAAGAAGAGCTCAGTTACATCTCAGTTGCTTCTTTTTTTTCTTGTAAGTCTTCAAATTATTAATTATTCTTCACGTTTTTGGGGTCACCATTAAATTTGTATGTGTTACCTGCCAAGATGATGAAGTACAAAGGGATAGTACTATAAGTTATAATTATTTTTGATAATAATTTCTTTTGCAACAAGTTTGGAAGTTGGTCCACAACTTGTGTTTAATTAATCAGATGTGAAATTTTCATTTGAATTATGTTTCAGTTGAGTGAAATGTTGTTTAGGTCTTCCACAGTGTACATTTCTATCCACTTTTACAGGAAAGATGCACTGTGGGTATTTTTCATATATCATTAAAAATAATTAGTGAAAGCTCACAAAAATAATACCTAACACCTGGAAACAGAAGAGCACAGTGCAAGGAAATCTGTGTAACCTACGATGCTGTATTACCATTTTGCTACGTGCTCTAATGCAGCGGTCCCCATCCCCTGGGCCACGAACCGGTACCGGTCCATGAGTCGTTTGGTACCGGGCCGCAAGAGTTGAGGCTTGGGTGTGAAATTTATGCTTTTCAGGGTTTTCATTGGTTTTTATCCTTATTTTCTTTATCGTTTTTATCGTTAACTTGGTTTTCCTGGGTCTTTTCCCGTGTGTTATGAATAAATATCTTTTTTTTTGGTACTGGTTTTGTTTTGTTGTATTTATCCGCGGCACCTTAAAGGCCAGTCCGTGAAAATATTGTCACACGTAAACTGATCCGTGGTGCAAAAATGGTTGGGGACCGCTGCTCTAATATATAAATAAATAAATTACTTATGTATTCACTTAAGTAATTTAAGTACAATGAAAAAAGTCGATACAACCCCACAAGAGAAAGGAAAGCTTGTTTTATTATTCTTGGAGGCCTCATATTGAAGTTTTGCAAATGTGACATCAGAAAACCCTTTTGATGCTGATTTTTAATTCTTTCTTTTACATTGGACCATCTATGGTTGTTTTCCTATTTTCTTTCCTCTACTTTTGAAATGTTCCATGCTTATATGCTCAAAGTTTCAAATATACTTCAGGCAAAGTTGTTCAATTGAACCAAGTGGGAGAGTAAGTATAGTTTGTTGACAAGACCTGATTGATAAAATTATGATTTGCTTGACTAAATATGTCTAAATCTGTGGGATGTAATATATTTTGAAAATGAAAGAGCAGTTAGCAAGCAAGCAGAGGACGTTATTTTTGGATTGGTAGTCGATAATGTTACATTTGATATACAGATTTGCTGAAAATGCAGTAAAGTCTGAAGGCAAGTTATAGAGTTAAATTTTAACAGGTTTACAAAAAACTCAAGGCAAAAATGGCCTGGCCTGTATTTGTATAGCGCTTTACTAGTCCCTATGGACCCCAAAGCGCTTCACACATTCAGTCATTCACACATTCACACACTGGTGATGGCAAGCTACATTGTAGCCACAGCTGCCCTGGGGCGCACTGACAGAGGCGAGGCTGCCGGACACTGGCTCCACCGGCAAGGGCAACAATGCTCTAATTAAGGTTTCACAACATAAATTTACTATAAATTCACTAATCAGTGTACGACCATCTTTTATATATATTTTATGGATAGGAGGTCAGAAATATGGTGACTTTAGAGACTACACTTTGGATTCTACATGGGACCAATATTTTTATACTTTCTTTTGCATTATTTTCATTGATTCTAGATTGATGTTGACCCTGTGGTTACATTTCAGGTAAAATAAGCAAAAATTTAAATGCATTTGCTGACTGTCACAAAAAACAAAAACAAAGGAAAAGCTGGTTAAACAGTGAAAAACATGTTTGAAATAGTCATATTCTACCTTTTGTTTCACCTAATACTTACAATTTAAATGTATAAAAATACCATGACTTTTTGTAATTAAAAGTTAACTATATCCAGTTTAAACTGACAGGTTTAAAATATGACCCTGACTGGGTTTGTATGCCACTGGCATATAGTGTTTGTGGCTCTGTTGACCAATTTTATTATACTTCTTGAGCCTTCATCTAAAAAGTAGGTGGGTTTTGACTTTTATTTCTGCTCTCCAGCGGCGTTTTTTTAGCTGCCAACTCTTTTGGTGTTATTTCTCTACAGATGCTAGTAACAGCAGCCACGAGTCGAGAGTTGGTTCAATCAGGGAACAAGAGAGGAAGGCTGTGGTTCCTTTGGCTGTCATCTCCACTCTCACCGTCCTCGGCCTGATTGCTCTCATCTGTGTTCTCGTCTACTGGCGGTAGGTACTGCCGGTAAATCTGCATATAATGGAAAACAGTTTATACATGCAAGATACATAGTACAATTTTATAATCCCCCATCTATTTAAAATTTACACTTTATGTAGTGAGATTCTTTTAACACATTTACACAGGTGGTTTAGTCCAAAGGTAAGTGAGAGTTGTGAACAATATGGTTAAAACAAAGGCTTTTTTCTGCAGCCTGTTGTGCATTTACCATGAACATGGTGACGTGCGATAGAAGACCACTTCCCACCCAAATTGTGCTCCATGTGAGAATGATCCAGACAACTTGTTATCCATAGGAGGGTCATCCATCGTGGGTAATAATATCATGCAATTATTCTTGTACGTATGATACAAGATTAACATCAGGAAGAGACGTGACATTGGAATATCATTTGAAATCATTGAAAAGTTCATTTTGCTAAAAGGTGTTAAGAATATATTCCTAGTATCTATTAAAAACACGTATGCATAATCCCCATCTCCAGTGCCCGCCTTCTAACCCAACTACACTTCACATATATCTTCTGATGATCAACATCAACCAGAAGATTTTCACATTTTTCTGGGAAACCTAATCTCTTCAAACATGGGCTCAATCTTGATCATGCATCGTATTGTGTGTTTTTATTTGTGTTTTGGTGAGCAAATACACACACTTCACAAATAATACCTTCTGTTCATGCTGTTTTGCGGTTGCCAGCAAACTGAATGAAGCCTTTCATCTGTTACTGCAGCTCTCTGTTGATTCACTTTGGATAACCTTCAGAGATGCCATTTTTCTTTATTTATGGAGACATATGAAATGCTCAATATGAAGCAAACTGAATTTTCTTTAAGGATTGTCGTAGTTTTTTGTTTGCATGCTTTGTTTTCTCCTCGTCACAAACCCCAAACTTTTTTTTTGTCTTGTTTTGACAACAAATCTTGAAAATCTTTCTGACCGTGAAATACCCAGCTCCAGAAATCCAATCAAAGACACGCTGTCAAATGCAGTGTAAACATTTTTAGTTATTTTTCACAGAGTACATTTGTCATCTGCCATGTTGAAGATAAACATGTTGCTCTTGTTTGGCAATCAGCTTGTTGTTGTATCCCTAAGACTGAGCAGTGCTAAACTGGTAATAATCTGTAGAGCAGGAGGATTAATCCTTAATAAAGGATGTGCTTTGGCTGCAGTGCTCTGAGCATCACTCAGAGGAGAGCGTCCTGGGAGGGCTGCAGGATCGAAAAGGACATCTGACTGATTATGTCGGATAGAAGGAATCGTATCAGCTTCTTGTAGGGCAAGCAGCAGGAGGTCAGACTGCACTAATCCTCCTGTTGTTGTGTCCTCCTTCACTAACTCACAACACGGTGCTCATTTGGCCACTGCTGCTGTGCATTTGAGATGAAGCAGGGTGAGAGGATTTCGATTGACTACAAAGTTGCGGCAAGGTGAGAGTTGTGCAGCAAATCAGGATATAGCTAAACAGTCTTTAAAGGTTTGGATATGCGCAATATTAATATTTATCCTACATCCAGGATGTGGATGGTAGCTTTTTTCAGTTCAGAGTGTGTGACTGTGTGTTAATGAGGTTGTTACTAAGCTGCAGCTCAGTTACTTAATTTAATCTGAGCTTCTCACAAGTTACTATAATCAATATCAGTATATAATCAATATAATTGCATTAAGTAATTTCTATGGTGTTATATGTATGTCAAAAGTCATGCGGGAGAAAAAAATTATTTAATTGCACGAGTACTAATTGCTACTCGCGCAATTAAATTCATGTAAATTCAATAATGCACACATACAACTCAGAAGCCATGCGTTGAAACAAGCAATCAGGTATGCAAGACTGTATTTGCGTGCGCTTCACGGTCTTACGGTTAGCTCTGTGCTCGAAGCTGAATCCTAATTGCTCCAACCAACTGACCTTTGGCCATTTGGAGGGCGGAGCCAAAGGAAAAGTAGCCCTAATATTAAATCCTAGTGTAGCAGTGGAAATTACATTACTGCTAAAGAAATCATTAAAACTAGAGTACTCAAAGAGAAGTTCTGAAGTCTCTGAACTCCTGTTTACATTATCACACACCTTTTAAGATAAAATAAAAGGAAAAATAGTTTTTATTCTTTCATTCTTAATTGAATTCATTTTCCAAAATGTGAACAAATAAGGTGTGCTCCACATGCTGTGGGTCCAGGTTTCATTATTTAATCCAGGTGCTCTGAACAGAAAGTCTGTGGAGTAGACAGGAAAAAAACGATGTGACAGGCTGTCTTTTTACAACACAACACGACAGTAGTGAGTAGCTCATTTTCTGATCTGAATTAGTGGCCGATAAAACAGTTAAGGTTTTTACTATGATTTTGTGTAGCAACCTAAAGGGTCAAACTACACACCATCCTTGTAGCTGCTGTTTGCTATGTGGGCTAAGTTTTCATACTTTGTGGTCATGTCAGTCCACTACGTAAGAGTTTTACCATGTACCATGTTGTAGATCCTTAAATCTGGTGTCTTGCCCTGGACTTGCAGACCAAAGGGAAAAAGCTATGCATCTGTCTGTTCGCACTGCTAAAATATTTGTACAAAATACTTGTACAATTGTCTTTTTTAAAATTATTTTAGTTTGATAAGTTTATATATTTATTAGTTGATATATTTATATACATAGTTTATAATTTTGTTCATAATAAAAGCAAGAAAAATATTAAAGAACTAATTCTACTAGGTGGTTAGATTTGTGGTTATTAGTAAAATTATTATGATTTATAATATTAAATATTAATATAATTAGAATGAAACTTTTTGCAGTTGCGGAAGAAGTATCTATCCCAAATCCTATACTTAGATAAAAGTAGTCATACTACATTCTGTGAAAATAAACTTTTAATGAAGTGCAAATGTTCTGCATTAAAATATGTCAATCTCTATATAATTGTTTGTTTTTAACCTGTACTGTCAGGCAGGTTTAGCGACAGAATCATGGTCTGAATGCTTTGTTGTACCAAACACATTTGCTTTTTCCAGGACGAGCGCTGTAGACTCTGGGGTTAATCGTTTTGTTTTTATAAATTGTGTTATTATCTGTGTGGGTATTATGCCAGAGTGGACAGTGGGTGAAGGCCAGGTTGCCGAAAGGCAAGAGGAGAAGGCGGAGGAACTGAAAAAGAAAAGGGACAGAAAGAAAGAGGGATGGGGGATAATCAACGACCAGTTGGGAGGAGCAGGGAGAGGAACCACCCCCAACCCACCCTCAATAACGCCAGACATGCGTGTGTGCACCACAAGAAAACTGTTGATTAATTTAGCTATGCATTTTTATATTTTTGTCTTCCAGGTGCTGTATGGGGTTTGGGGTTTTTTGTTTCTTTTTTCTTCTCTTACAGGTGCAGCATTTGGCATCACATTTCTATTTGCACTCTATACTTATTATATTATATTATTATGTTTTTCCTGTTTTCTCCCCCCTTCCATTTTTTTTCTTCTGCTGCCTGTCAACTTAGACAAGGTCATAATAAACTATATACTATATTACATATAATCTAATAACTAAAATAACACTAACAGAAAATGATAAATAAACAGATGAAAGAAACACATGAAGAAGAGGAGCCTATAGAGAATTTAGAGAGCTCATCTTAGAAAAGCAAAATGTGTTTGGCACATTTTTGGATTCAGATCATAATGCTAATTGCAAAACCTGCCAGACAGGACTGAATTTTGAAAAAATAAATAAATGGTAAATGGACTGGTTTTTATATAGCACTTCTGTACATAAACACTCAAAAAGACTAGGGGTTGTTGTATCCCCTCGGATTGCTGCCAGTGCATTTAGGCTTTCGCCGCTTAATGAGGACAGGATTTGTTCCCAGTTCATTTGGGTCGGGGAGCAGGTACTGACTGTTGTTTGGCATAAAAGTCCAAGCAACAGTTTAGCCTTCTTGGAGTCCCTGAATGGGGTGATCAAGCTGCTACACCTCATTACTCTGTTGTCCTACTGGGAGACTTTAACCCTGATATAAGCAATGATAGTAAAATCTGGAGGAGTGTGACTGGCATGCACAGCCTTCCTCATCTAAAACACAGTGGTGTTTTGTTATTGCAAATCACAATTTGTCCATAATGAACACCATGTTTGAACATAATCTGCAAAGGGTGAACCAAAATCATAGTATACATATATGGGGGAGGCATATGGAACTGAAACTAATCCTTTTAGCTGCAATGCTGCCTAATGTAGTATACAAAGTATTGTAGATCAATTAAATTTGTTGCTTTGGAATGTGTGAATAACCATTCAACTGCCCAATGCTGGGAACTATTGGAAGTCTACGTCAACCACTTGACTACCCTGAATTATGAACCCTCACTGATGCGACTGAGACCACTCAAGGACTCTGGCTGGCATTAAAAGCGAAATCATTTAAGGGATACGGGTCCTATACTCCTTTCTGCTTATAGCTCTTGTTGACCTAAACTGTGTCATTTAAAAGAAAAAGAGAAATCTTTAATCTCGTAAAGATTCCATTTATCTGGATGCAGTGTTTTCAGTAGGAGAAATACTTTATCCAAGTGAATTAACAATCATGAAGCTGATTTTGTGGCTTATTGTTGCAGTGGTAGTAGTTTCAGTCATTGTGCATCTGTACTGTTAGGCAAACACTAGCAGTCATCTGAGACTAAAGATTTCCTTACCTCGAGTAAGTTGTAGAACAACTATCTTTAAAAAAAATAACCTAGACTGAAGAATTAATATAGAAGTAGATTAAAGTAGAAATTATTCTGTTTGGTTTGGAAACTTGATGCAGGGCTAATCAGACTATATTAGTGGACAGTGGGGTGCTGGCGTAAAAACCTCTAAGACCTGTTGGGAGATTGTTTTTGTTAGTCAAAGTAGTTTCTCAAAGTATTTGTCATTAATCTCCAGTGTTGGTCAAGTGTTGGTCAAAAGTAATCAGTAACTAATTACTGATTACTTCCCCCCAAAAGTAAACCCGTTACTTTACTGATTACTTATTTTCAAAAGTAATTAGTTACTTAGTTACTTTTTAAAAACATGATTTACAACCTGAATAGGTAATAAAGCAATAGATCTTTCAGCCCAATTCTACTTTTTCTGCATAATCCATCATACAAAATGTAATCAAATGGAAAAAGTCTCTTTTTAAAATTTGTTTTAATCTTTTAACTTGATGCATCAAGCAAACATTAAATTATATGCAACATTCTCAGACTGGAAGACATTTTTTAACATTTAAGCCTATTTTCTACATATTCCAGCACATAAAATAAAAAAAATAAAATGTTTTGTGTTTACACTCACTCTTTCAAATAGATGCAGGTAAAACACAGCAGAAAATAAATAAAATCAAAGGCTCAGCAGTCCTGTTGCTCTATTTTCACCTGTATAGAAGGAGTGGGGCAGGTGGAAGTTTGCCCTGGTGCAGGTCAGAGGAAGGATCTGGGAGTTTCACATTCCTGTGGCAGCGCACTCGGTGCTTGCTCAGAAGTTTAGGGGTTTTTTTCACTGTAAAAATAAGTTTTCTTCCCACGCAGTGAGCAGCGGACACTAATGTTTTTGTCACTTTTTATGGAATCAAACTCAAAGTAAGCTCAGTACTTCCACGCTTTAAACGCTGCACAGTCATATGCTCTCCCGCACTCGATATATTATCCATTGCTGATCTGCACGCAGCTGTTGCCATGACCGTCGCACTCGCTTACGTCATTGTCATGAGACACTCTCGCAAAAAAATCACAGTTTTATTAACGCAGTAACGCAGCGTGCTTATGGGAAAGTAACCGTAATCTAATTACCTTTTTTGCAATAGTAATCCCTTACTTTACTCGTTACTTGAAAAAAGTAATCGGATTACGCGTTACTGCCCATCTCTGTTAATCTCAGAGATCAGCTCTGATTCAGTTTTTTTTTTCCCCATCTGTGAAAATCCCTGATGCCCATGTCTGGCTGAGACAGTACAGAGGTGCTGTCATCTGTTTACAAACCTATTAACATCTTATTTACTGGTGTTATGGGGAGATTATTTTGTATTTTCTAAAATCTGGGCTAATGCTAAATTACATGAAAGCAAAAAGCATTTCCTGCCTATCAGTGCAATGTTGATTGTCGTCTAAAAGAAGTGTTTGTTTTTCTGCAGGTTGTGTTTCCAGTCGGCTCACTTTTACATCCATGACAGCTGCTCAACCAGAGTCATCACAGCACCAGACACTGCTATATCTGGTAACATGCACACATCGTTTTGTGTGTGTCTGTGTGACATATTACATTGACATGAAGTTAAAACCCAAAATTAACATCTTAACAACGTAACATAAGCCATTTGAGGACTTACATACTAGAAAAATTGCCTTCATATCAAAACCAATATTATACTCTCAATTTTTCTTAAATATCCTTTCCAGAAATTTAACAAACACCCCAAGTTGTCAATAAATCTCTTCACTTTGCATGAAAAACAGGTCCTTAATTTCAAAAAATGTTTTGTTTCTAAATTTTCCAGCCGACAGTGTAAAGATTTATTATCTAATTAATAAATCTTTATCTATTATAATAATATCTATTTATTATATAAAATTTACCAAAATGTCATTAGTTTATGGAGCTGTCCTCATTTTGCTGTAAAGTTCTCACTTGTTTAATATATTGTTTGTTCTCAAAAAGTAATATTTTCACAAATGTAACAACTTCATGCATTACATTCATCCATTCATCCATCCATTTTTTCCACTTATCTGGAGCCTAAGCAAAGAAGCCCAGACCTCCCTCTCCCCAGCCACCTCCCCCAGCTCCCTGGGGGAACACCAAGGCACTCCCAGGCCACCTGAGAGCTATGATCTCTCCAGTGTTTCCTGGGACATGCCTGGAACACCTCCCATGTCATGCCCATGCCACCTCAACTGCCTCTACTCTGGGCCCTTTCCCAGATGGCTGAATGATATCTTAGAGAGAAGCCAGCAACCCTTAGAGAAAGCACATTTCCGTTTCTTGTATCCGCAGTCCCATTCTTCGGTCACTACCCAAAGCTCATGACCATATGTGAGGGTAGGGAGGTAGAACGACCAGTAAATTGAGAGCTTCACTTTTACGCTCAGGTCTCTATTCATCATGATGAACTGGTACAGTGTCCACATCACTGCAGCCGCAGCACCAGTCTGTCTGCCAGTTCTCTGTTCCCCTCTCCCCTCACTCGTGAACAAGATGCCCGAGATAGACTTGGAGGTACTGATTCTCATTCCCACTGCTTCACACTTGTCTGCAAACCACACTCCAGTGCGAGCTAAAGGCCACCACCTGATGAAGCCAACAGAACCATATCATCTGCGAAAAGCAAGAGACGAGATTCTGACACCACCCAAGTGGAAGCCTTCCGACACTTCGGCTTCCGAAATTCTGTCCATAAAAATTAAGAACTGAGTCAATCACAAAGGGCAACTCTTGTGGAGTCCAACACCCACTGGGAACGAGTCAGAAGGATCGAATAGCTCATAGCAACAGGCCACACACCCCACACTTCCAAAGCACCACCCACAGAATACTCAGAGGGACATGGTCAAATGCCTTCTCCAAATCCACAAAACACATGTAGACGGGTTGAATAAACTCCCATGCACCCTCAGGTATCCTTGCTAGGGTAAAGAGCTGGTCCAGTGTTCTACGACCAAGCCAAAAACCGCATTGTTCCTGCTGGATCCAAGGTTCGGCTAATGGATGGACTCACACACTGTGTTAGGTTTCTTGTGCACCACAGAGGTGACATTCTATGTCCCATTCGCTAGTTTTGGTGGCCAGGGATCAGTCCACCAAGGTCTCCACCCTTGGCCACCACCCAGCACACATTGCATGCGACCCCTATGGCCCTTCTTTGGGCTGTGCCCTGCCGGCCCCCATGGGCAAAGGTCAGACACCACCAGGCACTTGCCTTCGTTCACCCTCCCCAGGATTGGTTCCAGGGCGGGGCCCAGTATATCTATACTGGGGCCCTGGGATGATGGACTGTTCCCTAGGTTTCTGTGAATAGGCGTCTTTTGAATCGCTCTTTGCCTGGTCCTTCATCCAGGACCAGTTTGCCATGGGAGACCCTACCAGAGCACAAAAGCCCTCCGACAACATAGCCCCTGGCATTCCTGGGACACACAAACCCCTCAACAGATTCACGGAGGGGTTATGCATTATATTCAAATATTTAAATACATTATCAATAACCTTGTTGTTGTTTTTTTCTAGATTTAGTTCAAATGTTTTTTTCCAAATTCAGTCTACTTGCTAGTTCCTATTAGTTTCCAGAGGTGCATATACACGTGGCCTGCCTTGGCACTGTATCCCTCAGTTTCTCTTACTCGTCTCTTTTTTCCTGAGACTTGGTGTGCACTCCGTGATCTTAAGTTTGCACAAAGAGGGAAACTTTAACTTCTGTTTTCAACTTAATTTAAAGCCAAATGTCATTGTATTTTATTACATGTACAATGTGCAGGATCTAACCCAACAGTTTTCACCATTTTTCATTTAAAGGTTCCAACATGCATGTTGCCTTTTCCAACATTCACAGGGCTCTGTTCCATAAATTCATCCTCCATAGTCATAATGTCAATGTGTGTGTGTATGAGGAAGAACCTTCTGGGGAAAAAAGGACCTGTACTGTGACCTTCACTGTGGTGGTCAGTAGGCCATCAAGCCCTGAAACACAACTAATTTTAGTGCCATTGCTGAGAGTGCACCCAATATTCACTGCCTAAAATAGGTGTGCCAAGCTTGTAGTGACATACTCATAAATACTTAAGGGAGTAATTACTGCCAAAGGTGTTTCAACAAGGTATTGACCAAAGGCTATATTCATAGCCGGATTTATTATGTTCACATTCACATTGTTTTCATCATTTATTTTTAATAAATTTGCAAGAATTTGAAATTATGTTGAATTTTGAGTTTAAAATTAATTGAATAGGTTTTGTATAAAAGCTGTAGTGCATACTTTCTGGATGCACGGCATACCTGTTTATTTAGTTAAATGTGTTATTATCACAACCAAGAAGTCCAGAAACTTTCTTTTTTGTATTACATAATGGACAAAAAATTGTTATTTGGAACATTTGTTAGTTTTTTGTTTTGTTTTGTCTTTTGTCATTGTTGTTTTAGTTTTGTGGGGGTTTTGTTTCCTAGGTGAGCACAGGGCTTTTCCAGTGAAGGACTTTGTCAAGCATGTTGCTGAACTTCACCACACTCAAAGCTTCAAACGAGAGTTTGAGGTATGACAAAGATTCAATTATATAATACAATTTTACAGTGGTGCAATAGTTATAGCACAGAAAGACCGCTTTCATAGGGTGGATTCAAACCCAGGACCTTGTTGTTGAGCTCAGTTTGGATTTGATAAGCAGAAGATTGATGGAATTTTAAAAGTTTTATGTTTGAGTAGTTGTGTGAGTGGTGTTAAGCTGGTTTTATGGTCCTCTCAAATGTGTCCATCCATGTACACTACTGGGGACAGAGGGGGAAAGGGCTTTTTCACTGTACTCAGTGGCTAACTGACTGACCAACAACAATGCAAGCAAGAGTGGCCCACAGACCAGTTTTACTCTCTACTCTCTACAAATCACAAAAAAAAAATGTCGTCTATAAACATCATCAGAATCTTGCCTAACCTCATCTGTCAACTTGTCCATTGGGAATGAATAAATAAATGAATACAGAAAACATTTGGGCAACCGTCATACTGACAGTTCGTGAAGTTGCTTTGAGGCACATCCTATAATGCAACATCAAAAGTGTGATATGGGTTAACCCTAACAAATCAAAATGCTGATGGGAAAATATTTACAAACAGTTTAATGTGATTTCTCCTTCGTGTTTGCAGGAGTTTTACTGTGACATAAAGCTATGTGGATCTGTAATTTGTAATTGTAATTTGCCCTTTTGCACTTCTTTGGTTTTTGTTACGGAATTGTCCTGCTTGTCTGCTGCTGATTCACCCTCAACCTTAGACACTGAAGCCCAGTTACGAGGTAAGCCCCTGTCATTTATTCATGTTGCTGCATACCACCAGATGTGTATCTGTCTTGTATTGCACGCTGTTTCTTTGTCATAGTATCAGTAAAGCACGTTTACTCTGTGGCAGCAGTAGAGGAATGCATGACTGCATTATGTGAGCCGCAGAGTTATTACAATGAGTAAAATGTGTGCATAAAGGTCGTTTCTAGTTTCAAGAAATCCAACCAAAATCTGTTGGAAATCTGTTAAAATCTCAAAATCTTTTCTTTTAACCATGAACTGTTTTGGAAAACTAGTTGTATGAAGTTTTAAAATACATACACTATATTGGCAAAAGTATCCACTTGTCTGCCCTCATACGCATATGAGTGACATCCCATTATTAATCTGTAGAGTTTAATATGATATTGGCCCACCTTTTTGCAGCTAAAAAGGCTTCAGGTCTTTTTGGTAAGGCTTTCTACAAGGTTTAGCAGTGTGTTTATAGTCATTTCTGACCATGCTTCCAGAAGCACATTTGTGAGGTCAAACATGGATGTTGGATGAGAAGACTCTGCTCTAATTCATCTCAAAGGTATTCTGTCTCGTTGAGGTCAAGACTATCACAGTACCACGCTGAAATTCACTGAGCTCCTGAGCGTGACCCATTCTTTCACAAATTTTTGTAGAAGCAGTCTGTATGCCTAGATGCTTTATTTTGTACACCTGTTGCCTTGGAAGTGATTGCAACACCTGAATTTAATGTTTGGATGGGTGAATGAATACTTTTGGCAGTAAAGTGTATCTTAAAAGGGAATCTGATGCAATGTTTATCCTTGATGGTCTGATCCGCAGCTATTGCAACAGGCGTGTGGTAAGTGGTTTTGAGTAGAAAGGCGCTTTCTATCACAAGTTTATTTTACATTGTATGGAATGTAAATTGAAATCTGCCAGTGTGCAACTGTACTCACTTATGATACATTTACCGAGACTTTAAGTTACCTTTGAAGATTCTAAGCTTTGCTCTGTGTGCATGTTTCTAGGAGGCACATGTGTGCACTGTGGACATAGTGATGTCTACTGACAACGCAAATCATCCAGACAGCAAGACTGAAAACAGACACAGCAACAATTCGGCCTGTAAGTACAGGTTCAGACAGTGTGATGTGCTTCATGTTCAAGATTCAGAACAGTTTCAGATTTCTAACTTTTACTAAAGGAGTTATTTTCATCTCTTAATCACAAATAAGATGGATAAAAGGCATAACATAGTTATGATTATGTTAGGTATTTTAGGATTGTTAAGATTTTGCTGAGCCTGTGTGCTCTGCTAGTGTTTATCAGATGCAAACTAATGTTTCTGTTGAGTTGAGGTTTTAAAAGATTGTTTATCAGCCGAAGTTCTTTTCATTAACAGGTACACATAACTGTTATTCAGAAACACATACAGTTGTAAATACATGGTAAGGTATGTGTGACCACAATACTCAACAGAGCACCACATATAGATTCTTCCATCACTGAAACTAGTCCCACAGTGCTATTGTTTATGACACACTGAACAAAACTATAAGGATTAGTAGTCACAAAATGCAGTTTTTAATTGATAGTTTCATTTATTAGAGAAAAAATCTACTTAACCTTCCTGGCTCTATGTGAAAAAAGTAGTTGTCCCTTCTTGTTAAATCTTGACTTAACTATGATCAACACGTATTTTTTTAAAACTGAGTTTAACTTCAATAGCCATGCCTAGGCCTGATTACTACCAGACATGTTGAATCAATAAATAGCTTAAGTAGTAAAAACATTGTTTCCTTCATTCAAAAATCAAGTGGATACTATTTTGGAAATAGATCCTTTTGGCAAAAGGCGAATCTCTGTCATATGCAAACTTATATAGAGCTTAAGGCCTATTACTTGGGAAAAAACTAAAAATAATTGGGTAAAAGACATTGGGGTGGATTTATCTTATGATGAGTGGAGATCTTGCTTGAATCGTATACATACCTCCTCCCTTTGCATTCGCCATGGTTTAATTCAGTTTAAAATTCTTCATCGTCTTCATTATACAAGAGAAAGGCTTTCAAAGGCTTTTTTTCCAGAACCCGATCCTGCCTGTCCCAGGTGTGGTCATAATCCAGCAAATGAGGGTCACATGATGTGGTCTTGTCCTAACCTGGACAATTACTGGGGAAATATATTCAAAGTATTATCTCACATCAGTGCGCAAAATTTAGTGCTTGATTTCCGCATTGGCATTTTTGGAGTTATGCCATCTCAATACAAAATTAGTACATCTCAGGAAAATGCCATAGCATTTGCTACATTGCTTGCCCGTAGACTCATTCTATTCCACTGGAAGTCTGATAAGGCTCCTTCATATATAAAGGAGGTGCTTTTCTTTTTACCACTGGAAAAACTTAGACACAGAGTTCTCTCATCACAACAAAAATGATCTGCGACTTGGAACCCATTTATTGACTATATAAAAACGTATTTTCCAGATGTGTGACGTACATTTTTTGTTTGTTTTGTTTTGTTTCTCTTGACATGAACCTCGGGTGGGGAGGGAGGGGGTTTCTTTTTTTTCTTTTTTTAACTGTGCTTTATTTTTTATGTATAATCGCAACGTTTTCATTTTGTATTGTGACCATGATTTGTGTAAAGCGATTAAATTTAAAAAAAAGTCAAAAAAAAAAAAAAAGAAAGCTAGAATGCAGGCTAAAACTGGAGGTTTGTAATGCCCAATTTCTATTCTATCATTCCAGTTTTTTTCCTTTTTAAGTTGAATATGTAGGCGAAGTATTTCATACGCAGCATTGCAGTCTTTTATGCAGCCAAAACATCAAGATTTAATTTGGAACAATAAAAAAATATAACTTCTTTATCCACCAAAAAAAAAAAAAGAATGAATACTGGTGCATTTGTTACACGTTTATATCCAGATGCTGGTCCGGAGATTTAATTCTTCTTCATTTGCTGCACTTTCAGCTGTGGCTGCTTGTTCATTCCTGTCAAGATAGCAACTGGGTTTTCAGTTCAGAGCCACAGTAATTAGTTGATTAAGAAGCCTAAAATCAACCAATGAATTAATAAAAATCTTCTGTAGCCTTATCAACACATGGGACTAAGATAAAGCATTAAGCTACAAATTTTGGTTTTGTATATGTAAATGAGTAATCCAACCACATAAAAAGAAGAAAGAAATTAAATGTAAATGAAGATTTAAGCCTGTATCCTGCTAGTAAAGCACTCAGAGTATAAAAACATGTATATAAAAGATGGGCACACACCATGACATCACTCTGTTCTGTGAACCTTTTTCTCACTGTTTTAAGCTTTGATTTGAGCATTTTTGTGTCTTTTTTATTTGGAGTCACAAGTGACCAAAATTGTTAAATAAATTTGAAATAACATGTAATTTCAAACTTAAAAAAAAGGGAAAAAAAGAAATAGCTCAAGTAGAACAGAGACAGAGTAAAAGGTTAAAAGATCCCAGAAAGCAACACATCATATCGTAATGTAAAGAAACAGTTGAGGAACAAAGTCAGTGACATGAATTAGTCCAGAAAGAGAGAAAGGCTTTGGGACTCCAGCACAGTGCCTGAAACATACCACCTCTGAATGGCTCAAAACAACTAACTAACAAGTCAGATTTAGGCAGCAATTCGTTTTTCACATTGGATCAGGTAATTTAGGGTACATTTTTCCCTTAATAAATAAAATCATGATTTAAAAACTGCCTTTTCTGTTTGGTAGGTTCTGTATTAAAATATGTTTACATTTAAGTGTGACAGATGAGCAAAAAAATAAGAAACTTGGTAGGGAGCAAATAGTTTTTAACAGCTCTAAACTCTATATGTTTATTTTTGTCAAAAGTAAAGTACAGTAGAGGATCTAGAGTAACTGGCCCATTTCCTCCAGGATTACACCCCGAAGAGTTCAGGACCAGAATGTAACTGATAGTCATAAATTCTACACTCTATCAGGCGATGCTGAAGGAGAATGTCTCATCATGCCCTAAAGTGTTTTAAATTTCAAAATTATATTTAATATCCATTTTATATGGAAGATGTCAAATGTGCTTACATGTCTTTATCTGATGTAAAATGAATGAATCTAATTTGTTATCTTTACTGTCTATGTGTGTCTGTCTTTGCCTTTCAGATGATGATACCCAGGTACACCTCTCACTATTGGCCAACAAAAAAGGAAAAGCAATGGATTACATTAACGCAAGCTACGTGGATGTAAGGAAAACATTTTAATAAGCTACATACAAACTGAGGCCTTCATCCTCACTCTGAAGCTCATTTCTGTTTATTCAGCCTCTCAAACAAATAGTCTAAGGGTATTTTTATTCCCAGAGCCACTCAACACTTCCCTCTAGTCTTCCAAAACCAAGTCAAGTCTCCCTGCTGCATATTTCTAAACCTATTCACGAGAGGGGACCTGCGAAGCTCTCTATTATGCTAGTAACGGCACCAATAAAACCTTATTTCCAACATCTTGTTGTTTTGTGAAAAGCAGAAGCGACACAAAAAGACCTCTCTGCAGTCATGGCCTCTCTGGAGAGCCGGCATACAGGTTAGAGTTGGTAAAAGCACATTGAGAATCTCTACAACTCCTACTTTTGTCTGCTTTTGGCGCATTGACGACAACTTCATGCTGTCAGTCAACTGAAGGTTATCAAACTATTAAATGGAGTGATTGAACAGCGCTCTCTCCTGAGAACATGTGACAGTCTTTCCTAGGCTGGCCTTAACTAAACAAATCACCAGAATTCTGCCATCTTGACATTTTTGTTAAAAACACACACACACACACACACATATTGTCCTTGATGAGTTTTGTTTGATTTGGCAATTTAGTCTCCAATTTGAGCACCTATACAGGAGCTTTCTTGGGCCCTTTCTCAGTAGTAAAAATAATCTAGTAAATTTGAGTTGTGGGATTTAGATTGACTGTGAAGTGCATTTAAATGCTTCATTTTCAACAGGAGAACAAATAGAAGGCTCCAAGTGGACTTTGAGGAGAAAATATTTTTTGAGCACATTTTGTTTTTAAAAATCAACTACAAAAAAAAAACTTTATCATAAAAAAGCTACAAATTCTAGTGAAACAGGTTGAACTCGTATTAGACTGAACACACCAGGAGTAAATGAAAATATGCTGGTATTCCTGAACTAGCATCTCTTGTAGACTTGTTTCTAATTTTAGAGATATTGCACAAATCCTAAATATTGATTTAATATGAGCTTTGAGATATCCTGATCAAAAATTACTCCTAAGGTTTCTGAAGGCCAAGGCAAGTCATCTACATATTCGTCTCCATTTTAGAAGGAGGAAATTCAAAAGACATGCCTGAGTTTAACTACATGATGTGAATCATCTGGCTTCATGGATAGATAGAGTTGGCTATCATCTGCATAGAAGTGAAATTGTATGTTATTTCTTCTAATAATATTGCCTATTATTTAAATATATAATGTCAATAGAATTGGTCCTTGACAAAAAGAAGACTCAGCATTTGCATGAACAACCTGGATAGATATAACTTAAACCACTGTGGTGCAATTTCTTTAAAAATTAATTAATTAAAAAGTCTGTAGTAAAATATTGTGCTAAGTGTTATCAAATGCTGCACTGAAGTCTAGCAGGAGTCTGACAGTGTGTAAACTCACTGTCAGAGGCCATAAGAGGTTGTTAGTAACCTTTAGTAGTGCGGTTTCTCTTCTGTGATTCTGAATCCTGACTGAAATTCTTCAAATGAACCGTTCCTCTGCAGATAATCAGTTAACTGGAGGATGTCATAAGGCCTTGAGGCAATCAGATGTAAAACACAATATTCATGAGTGTTTTAAATCGTAAATTGGTCAGATCTGACCCGAACATGACAGGAAGGTGTGTGCAAATTCATGTTTCCTAAATTATTTTTTGCCTATTTTTGATTTCTAATATTGTAATAAGTTTTGGTTGGTTGGCCTTCACCTAAAGTTATTTATTAGTAATAATAAATCCAGATTCATAAAGGAATGGTGCAACTATACTTGAAATAGCTTTCAATGTGGTGTTTAAGCATTCAGAGCAAAAACTCTAATGGACAATCTTTTTATTATCTGCATTGTTTTTCACATTGCAATGTAAAAGTACATGAACACAACAAAGTCAGCAGAACAAATTTCCCATCTTGTACTTAGTACATCTTGCACATACACCTGTGACATTCTGATTTGCCAAAGATCATGTCAGCACTTTGTGTTTCTCAGGGTTTTAAGAAGCCAAGGTTGTACATTGCTGCTGAGGGGCCTGTGAGGTCGAGCATTGAGGACTTCTGGAGGATGATATGGGAGCAGAACATCTGCATCATCGTCTTGATCAGCAACCTGGTGGAGAAAGGATGCGTAAGTGTCTCGTCATAGTTTCTGAAATTACATTTACATTTTTGAGTTGAAATATATATGAACATAATCTGATGACACATACAGAGTGAACTTGTGTTCACTCATGTTGGTCAGTAAAGAAGGAAATAATTCTGTAGCTTTAAAAAATATATATTTTTTACACTTTTACAGCGCTCTTTTATAAATATCGATCAACCAAAGAAGAATCTTTTCCATCACATTTCTTTTAGCATTATATGCATGTGTTTACTGTGTCTTAGAGAATATATGATCAGTACTGGCCACTAGAGGTGCAGGAGGAGTACGGCAGCTTTCTTGTGACTGTGAAGAGCACTAAAGTCCTCGCCTACTACACCCAGAGAACCTTCACCATCAGAAAAATCCAGGTAAAAAAGGTCAGCCTGTAGCAGTCACCCTTAAGTATCCTGTGTAATAACAGAATTTCAATTCATTTTCTTTTTTATAGCTCTAATTTGCAAAGATGGTCACTTCAAGCGAAATAAAGACCCTAAAATATTAGAAAGGAGTTCCCTTAATGGGAACCAGTTGGGGTGAGGGGAAAGAGAAGAGAGTAGAGAGACTGCACTACATACAATATATTTAGATTTTCATGTTAATTGTAACTAGGCCAAGTACGAGTGGCAAGAAATTATTTTAGGGTGGCAGTACCGCAGTAGATCCATCCATGGATGGCACAAGTTGGAATTTCACAACTCGAGTGATGTCAGTGAGTCACTGTTGGTATCTTCCTGTTACTGACTGCTTTGTTCTTGTCCACCTGCAGAGTTCTCAGAAGGGGCGGGCCAAGGAGGGGGCCAATGAGCGGACTGTGACACAGTATGATTACACCCAGTGGCCTGACACTGGCGTTCCAGACTTAGCTCTGCCATTCCTATGCTTCATCCGCAAGTCGTCCAGAGCCAGGACAGATGACATGGGGCCACTGATGGTTCACTGCAGGTGGGAACTGCCAGAAAGAGTTAAAAATCTCATTTTCATTGGCAGCTGAATATATATGCTTAATTCTAATATTCTCTTTGCCACGCAGTGCTGGTGTTGGCCGGGTGGGCACATACATTGTCCTGGACAGCATGCTGACGCAGATCCAAAATGAGGGCTCCGTCAACATCATTGGCTTCCTTAAACACATTCAAACTCAGAGGAAATGCCTGGTGCAGACAGAGGTCACCCTCATTCCTGTCCATACACACCCACACCTATAGCCAGTCAACACACCATCCATTTACTACCATCCATCCATCTATCCATTCGCTTCCGCTTATCCTTTTCAGGGTCGCGGGGGGCGCTGGAGCCTATCCCAGCTGTCATAGGGCGAGAGGCGGGGTACACCCTGGACAGGTCGCCAGTCTGTCGCAGGGCCAACACACAGGGACAGACAACCATTCACACTCACATTCATTCGCACATTCACACCTAGTGACAATTTGGATTATCCAATTAACCTATCCCCACAAGCTGCATGTCTTTGGACGGTGGGAGGAAGCCGGAGTACCCTGAGGGAACCCACGCAAACACGGGGAGAACATGCAAACTCCACACAGAAAGACCCTGTCCTGATGTTGGAATTGAACTCAGGACCTTCTTGCTGTGCGGCAACAGTGCTAACCACCGTGCCACCGTGCTGCCATTTACTACCATTAATAATAATACTAGCTAATAATAACGACTTCTTTGTGGATGGTAAATCCTGAGTCTCTACATGGCAAGTTCAGTGTCATTGATCCATGCACCCAGACTGGAACAACTGACATTAAATTGGAACCAAACACTGATGCAGCCCAGAAGATTAAAAAAATAAAAAACGAGAACCTCACTGGCAATACTTAGATTTTTCTTCAAGCAAACCCATGCCTTGGTATGCTGAAGCATTAGCGGTGCCTTTCACTGGAACTAAGGGGTTGAGCCCAACTCCTTAAAAGTAGCTCCATATCCACCAAACATTACACTTGACAGACTCATCCATCGGGCTGTCAGACAGAGAACCATGATTCATCACTTTTCACTGCATTACGCCGCTTAGATGCAGCTGCTCGGCGATGGAAACCCACCCCATGAAGCTCTTTATGCACTGTTCTTGAGCTAATCTGAAGGCACATGTGGTTTGAAGGTCTATAGCCATTAACTGCTGAAGATGTTACACACTATCCACTTCAGCATCCGCTGACCCTGCTCTGTGGTTTTAGCGGACTACTACTTCAAGGCTGAGTTGCTGTCATGCCCAGTCTCTTCCACTTTGTGAACTGCAGTAGTGAGGAAATTTCCCAACTGGACTTGTTGCACAGGTGGAATCCTGTCACGGTAGCATACTGAAATTCACTTCAGTGCCTCAGACTGACCCATTCTTTCACAAATTTTTGTAGAAGCAGTCTAATAAAGGTGTCTGATTTGATATCCTGGTGGTCATGGAAGTGATCGGAACACCTGAATTCAATGGTCTGGATGAGTGAATGATTACTTTTAGTAATGTAGTGTAGCAGTATGATATAGAGGGGTTACAGTCATTTTCATCACTGTTGTATACACCCTCTACATTCATTCCCATAATGAGTGTATATAAACCTCTGACCACAACTGTAGACCTTTCTTTCAACCATATTTTGATTCTGTGTAGAATTAATAAAATAAATTGAAATGATTGCTACAGATCTTGTTAAATATAGCACTGAACAGAATATTCTTGTCACAAATACATTTTTAGTTTCTATCTCTATTTTTCACTGGCAGGCAGAACTGGAATGCATTAACAACCTTTTTTTCACAAAAGTTTATCCTGATCCCGAAGTCACAGAAATAATCAACTTTGAATTTTTGTGACTTGTTATTTTCCGACAGCCATCTTGTTTAATTCCATCTCCCATTTCTAATGCCCACTAGGGTTATGATGGTTTGTCAGTTTCTATTTCATGGCTAAAACTGTATCAGGTATAAATTTAGGACAAATAAACAGAGAAATAGGGAAATAAATGATGTTCCTCCTGCAACAACTTTGCCTCGCTGTTCTAAGCCCCTGCTATAAGATTAGCATGTGCACATGCTGAAGCCACACTGAAAATAAGTCTGTGATGCTTTTTGGCCTCAAACAGGTCAAAATCCAAAGCCTAGAGATAACCTGGATATAACATAAGGTGCTGCTCCCCACCCCAAGTTCAGCAACATAGAACAACAGAAGATGCCATCAGCAGTTTGTTTGTAATGCCAAAACAACAAACAATCAGCAAACATTTTACAACAATTTTATCTGATCCTAACAGGACAGCTAGTCTGTACTTGCTGACAAGAGGTCAAATTTGTCCTCTCAAACGGAGTCTGCAACTGAAGGAATAAAAATTAAAGCTGTTGGGAGAAGTTTATTTTACAGTTTAATTTTAAAATATGCTGCAAGTGTCACATTTTCACTGATTCGTTTATTTAAAGCACATTTTAAGTGTATTATAGATTTATTGGTGAGATGATGTTTTAGATGTGCAGCTCGTTAAACTGCACATATAAAAAACACTAAATGAGGCACAAACTATGTGTTACATCGTGACAGGAATGTCTGGGTATTAATATGGTGATTCAGAAAATGTATGAAATGATTGTATGTCTGAGTGTCTTTACATTACTGGAATTGTGGCTACTAGAACAAAGACCACTCACCAAAAAGACCTTCTTAATTAATCAGATTAATTTGACATTCATCTGCATCAGACTGTCAAACTCCACGTCTCCTTTATTAGACAGTAAGATTTTTTTAACGTTCAAATGAATAGAGTTCAATGTTTAACATTTTAAACTTCCTACCTGGCTCAGCAAACACACACACAAACACACACACACCTTGAACAGCGGAGAGAAAAAAAAACACATACTGAGAAAAACATAACAACAACAACATGTTGTGATCAACATAATCCTGAATCATAACAGTCTCCTGTTATGAGACTGTTAAAAAAGTTTCAATGACAAATTTAAACTTCTTGTTTTTTTCTTTCTGCAGGAACAGTATGTTTTTATTCACAATGCCCTGGTGGAAGCCATCTTGTCTGGTGAGACAGAGGTGGCAGTGGCTCAACTGCATACGTACGTGGACAAGCTGATGACCCCAGGGCCTGATGGAGGAACAGGGATGGACAAACAGTTCAAGGTAAGCCTTACTCTCAATATGTTTCACTGAGACAGATACAGTCTCAGACGGTCTTCATATTAGTTAGTATGAAACTATTATCATACTTATTATCAGACATCTTTTAATGAAAGATGGGTTTTTTTAGTTGTTTACAGTTGTTTACGGGTTTTTGATGTTTTCCACAGATGGTTTGTTACACCAATCTGAAGCACTGTGACTATTCCACAGCTCTGCAGGACTGCAACCACAACAAGAACAGAAACTGCTCGGTGATACCCAGTGAGTCTGACACACTAGTCAGCTGCAGCTGAAAATACTGCACATACACAAAAACATCTGTCTGCACAAACATGTTCTATCTCATATTGCAGTTGAGAGGTCACGAGTGCATTTGCCAACAACAGCAGGGGAAACATCAGACTACATTAATGCATCATATATCGCAGTAAGTCATATATATATATATATATGACTCTGTGTGTATGTGTATATAATTCATCAGTAACAGCCACCGTTTCAAGTAATGAGGTCAGTAAGTGTGGCTGACATGTTCCTCCAGGGTTACAGGCACACCAAGGAGTTCATCATTACCCAGAAACCCTTGCCTGTCACCGTAAAGGACTTCTGGACAATGATGTGGGACCACAATGCTCAAGTCATTTTGTCACTGCCTGGGGTGAGGAACCGTTCTTTTTGAAGACATCCCTGAAAGAATCTTGTGACTAAATCCTCCTGGGGCTCTTTGTACCTGTTTGTTCCTTTAATTCAAATGTTATTTTAATATTTATTTTATATCTCAAAAAATCTTTTCTGATTTAATATTTTAATGTTTTGTGGAAAATGTATTGAGGTTTTCTTGACGTGTTAGCCCAGACTAGCAATCTGTTCAGAGTGTACCATGACCTTTTGGAGAAAGTTATGCTCTCTCTACAGTATCATGGTACATACTGTAATTACAAGTAGCCAGGTTGGAAAAAATGTAGTTGCAAGTTGGAGATATCTGTGAATTGTCACAAATGCAATGTAATGATTTCCTGTGTTGGTAGATGGAGGAAGAAGCAGAGTCATTTGTTTTCTGGCCTTATAAAGGGCAGCTGATCAGCCATGAGAAGTTCACTGTCACTCAAAAGAGTGAGACTCATGTTTGTCTGTCCAACGAGGACCTGCTGGTAGTTCAGGACTACATACTGAAAGCTACAAAGGTTAGTAACATGGCAGTTTGAATTCCCTCTAAAAAATTTTATCTTACTTTAATTTAAAACCCACGCCCATAAGAATAGTTGTCATGTGGACATGAAAACTCACTCTCATGGCCGACTGTGACTGATGTTTGCTGTCTTTTCTTATCTTAATAGGATGACTACGTTCTTGAGGTGAGACACTATCATGCTCCCAACTGGCCAAACCCAGACAGTCCTCTCACTTCCACCTTTGAACTTCTCAAACTGATGAAGGAAGAGATCCTCACAAAGGACAGCCCTACTGTGGTCCACGATAAGTAAGACCCTTGGACTACTTACAATAGTGTCGTCTGGTCTGATACTTGTTTTGTAATCTTTATATTATTTACGATCCATATCTATGCATCTGTCTGTCTGTGTACCTACCTACTCAGGCCTTCTTGTCCAACCTCTTAACCTCTCTGTCAGGGTGCTGGTTCAGCATTTTGAGTTTATTCTGTTTTGTGATTCTTTGTATTATTGGTTTAGGATCAAGTTTTATTCCTTGAGTTTAGTTCCTTTTATGTTTTGAGTTTTTTTGTTGTTTATTTTTCAGTTTACCTGTTTTTATTCATGTTTGTTAGCAGCCAAAATACAGTGAGGAACATAAGTATTTGAACACCCTGCGATTTTCGAAGTTCTCCCACTTAGAAATCATGGAGGGATCTGAAATTCACATTGTAGGTGCATTCCCACTTAAAAAAAAAAAAACAGTTAGGAAATAACATTGTATGATTTTTAAAGAATGTATTTGGATACCTGAGAAAAGCAGTGTTAATATTTGATACAAAAGCCTTTGTTTGCAATTACAGAGGTCAAATGTTTCCTATAGTTCTTGACCAGGTTTGCACACACTGCAACAGGGATTACGGCCCACTCCTCCACACAGATCTCCTCTAGATCTGTCAGGTTTTGGGGCTGTTGCTCAGCAACATGGAGTTTCGGCTCCCTCCAAAGATTTTTTATTGGATTTAGGTCTGGAGACTGGCTAGGCCAGTGGACAGGTGTCTTTAAAGAGCTCAGACAGGTGCTAATAATTGACATTAATAAAGGCATAGTAACAGGTCTTTGAGAGCCAGAATTCTTGCTGATTGCCAGGTGTTCACATTTTTATGTGCAGCAGTGCAATACAAATAAATTCTTTAAAAATCATACAATGTGATTTCCTGAATTGTTTTTTAAATGCTGTTGCTCACAGTGGCAATGCACCTACAATGTGAATTTCAGACCCCTCAATGATTTCTAAGTGGGAGAACTTCGAAAATCGCAGGGTGTTCAAATACTTATGCTACTCACTGTAAATGGTTACACTTTTTGTTAAAAATCAATTTTTGCCTTTGATTGTCTGCATTTGGGTCCTCATAAAAAGCTGCATGGTCTGCAGCCACAGACCGCGGCACTCCCAAATGCACTTCTAGAAGAATGGTCAAACATTCCCATAAACATTCAGTTGAAGCTGCAAAGGGTGGGCTGACAGAATATTTACCCTGTGAATGAAGACAAGACAAGAATGGGATGTTTCTCAAATTGATATGCATGCAAAGGCAGACAAGAAAATACTTTTGGCAATGTAGTGTATATAGTGGAGATGGAAGTTGTGGGTGTATGTGTGGGTGTGTTTGTGTATGTATATAGATAAGATAGATATAGATATATAGAGAGAGACGTTGGATGTCGGACTGGAGAATAATAAAAAGGCCACTAGAAAAGCTGCAGCCACCAAATATCAGCAGAGAATAACCTAAGTCCTAAGGCGTCTGCTGAATCGGAAGAACAAGATCCGTGCAATCAACACATACGCCCTGCCAGCTTATTATCAGACATCAATAAGGGCCCAAGGGAGAAGATAGAAGCCATTGACATCAAGACAATCAAGCTCCTTACCATGTATGGAGGGTTTCACCTCAAATCCAGCACCCTGAGACTGTATGCTAAGCAGAAGGAAGGTGGCCAAGGACTAGTGAGTGTCAGAACTACTATCTAGGATGACACAACAAAGATCCATGAGTACATCAGGAAGATGGGCACATAGTATTGCTTAGTGAATACTTCAGGCAGCAGAAACCGGAGAAAGAAGAAGAGCAAGAGCTCCCATGATGACAGACCCGCATGTACCACCGACAAACAGAAGAAGGGATATTGAGAAATCCCACCAGTAGCTAGCTAGACTGAAAGACATCACAGAGGCAGTAATCATGGCAACAAAGGAACAAGCTCTAAGCACAAGATCCATACAGGCTGGGGTCTAACACACCAGGCAAGACCCGAGGTGCAAAGATGCCCCTGAGACAATCCAGCATAACTGCAGGGTGTAAGATGCTAGCAGGCAGGGCATAGATGGAACGCCATAACCAAGTGGCGGCCTAGTCCACAAGAACATGTACTGAGTATGGCCTAGAACTCCCAAGGTCAAAATGGGAGACGCTCCCCAAGGTGGCTGAGAATGACCAGGCTAAGCTCTTGTGGGACTTCCAGATACAAACAGACAAACTGGTAATGGCTAACCAACCGGACATAGTGGCAGACAAACAGAGGAACACAGCTGTAGTGATAGATGTAGCTATGCCAAGTGGTAGCAAAATCAGGAAAAAAGAAAACACAAGAAGTTGGAGCCACTTGCCCATATAATTTTATTTATTTTGTTTTTTGTTTTTTAGTGTGGGTGGGTTTACAGCAGGACTGTTCTGTGCTCTTTCGTCTCTGACTCGCCAGTTGGATGCCGAAGCGTCAGTGGATGTCTTCCAAGTAGCCAGGCTGATGAATCTCATGAGACCTGGAACCTTCAACAACATCGTAAGTTTGTCTGTCTCACAATAATTTTATTGTAATGTAATGTTGTAAAGTGTACCTCATTAAATTAGAATATTTAAAAAATATATAATTAGCATCAAAACAACAAGGCAGCTGTTTTTATTGTAATAGGCTCTTTATATGTTGGGTTTTTTCTGTTTGTTTAAGGGTATAATATGCCTTAATGGCTGTGGCCTTTTTCAGTAGGAAGACAACAGTGAAACAGCAAGAAGCACGACAATGAGTTTGAGGTGTTGACTTCACCTCCAAATTCTCAATCTAATCAAGCATAAGCAATTGTTTTTTTCCAGCACTTATTTTGTACTGGACAAAAAAAGTCTGATCCATGGAGATACCTTCAAGGGTCTAGTGGAGTTCATGCTGTTTTGGTGGCAAAAGGGGTACCAACATGTCAATTCATTCATCAATTGTCAATTCATTTAATGTTATTGCCACCTTGAGGTGGCAACAATCCCTTCAAGTTTTATATTGTAAAGTAAAGATCCTACAATAATGCATAAAAGATCCCAAGCGCTTGGCAAGAGTGGGAAGAAAAAACTCCCTCGAGCAGTGGAAGACAGAAAGAAAGACAAGCTGTGCAGGAAACCAGAGATTGTTGCAAAGCAACAACCCCAGTATATGTTATTGTAGTCAGCCATTGTGTTTATTATCGACTTGGCTGACTAAGAACCTTCACAGAGATTTTGCCCAAACTCCATATTGAGCATGCTTTTTATTTACTGAAAAAATCAGTTTCATTTCATAATAAATCCCACCCCACACATTCTTAATTTGAAATTCTAACTTTCTCAATCAGAATATTCAGAATCATATACATATTAAGTTATAAAATTTTCCCCTGATGCCTACTGATTGCTAACTACAGAATTTGACCTTTAATCAAATTGTAAAATTGAGTTTCAGGAACTGCAAATTTGCCTACCTTTTTAATTAGTGCCCATTTTCTCTCACAAGCAACCAATTCTGGTCAGTTCAGAATATCTGGCATACTTAAAACTCAGATTCTGTTCACCAATGGTGTTCATCCACTCAAATCAATCAAGCCCCACGTTGAGTGCGCCAAATTGTGGGGGGTTTTATGAGAAAGAAGATAAATATGGTCCAATTATAACTGGAGCATATGCATATATATATAATTATACACATAAAAATAAATATACTTTTTGACCTGGAGCCATTTGTTTCAGACGAATGCCATTCTGTGCTCCCATTCACTCTTATTCACTAATTTCTCCAACCAGTTTTGGAGAGAAAGAAAATAACCTCAGTTTTTAACTTGCTCTCCTGACCTCGATTTAAGCACCACACATACCAAAAACCCACACATATGGACAGCAACTTGTCAGGATGCTCACAGTTTTTAAAACACATCAATATCACATTTGATCTGAATGTGATATGGAGAAGCCTCATTTTAAAGCCATTTTGTGAGAGGAGTGCAAAGCGCTTCTCTTACAGGCATGACAGAGAGAAAAGGGGCCATTTTCTCATGTCACGCCTCCCTCATTTTAATATCAATTGTGGATTGGTTGGCCTGTGTCATAGTCCTGCTCCCTCACCCCTAAGGGGCACACCTACCACTGGCTGTCATGTGTTTTGTCAGGAAGTCTGTCAGTGGCTTACAGTCTGCACTTTTACTTCTCTTGTACTGACAATTTTGGATGCAAGGGACATATTTCTCTCTTTTTTTAACATCTGACAGACTTTCAGTATGTTTAAAACAAACAAACCACTTTTACAGTGTCTGCCACTTTATTAGGCACACTTGTTTTCACTGTACACAAACAAGCTGTTTATCTTTTATTCTGGATTTAACAGGGAGTCAATGTTAAAAAAAAGAAAAAAAAGGGAAAAAAAAAAGAAAAGCCAATATGAGAAAAATATGCTCTTTCTTGTCAGTGCTTTTGCTGCAGTATTTTGGATCAAGTAAAAGAGATTTTTTTGCAGAGTCCTATAATAATGAGTTACAATAGCCCAGCCTACAAATGTATGAACTGGTTTTTCAGGAAAAACTTTTTTCAGCAAGGCAGCATGGTGGTTTGGTGTTTAGCACTGTTGCTTCACAGCAAGAATATCCAGAGTTCAACTCTACACCATTTGGCCAGAGCCTTTGTGTGGAGTTTGCATGTTCTCCTTTTGTTTGTGTGGGTTCTCTCTGGGTACTCCAGATCCTCCCACAGTCCACAGACATGCAGTTAGTGGGGTAAGATTAACTGATGATTTTAAATTGCCTATAGGTGTGAATGTGAGTGGTTGTCTCTGTGCATCAAATTGGATCTCCAGGGTATCCCACCTCTCCCACTGTAGTAGCTGGGATAGGCTCCAGCACTACCTCCTGAGCCACCTCGCAAATGTACAGGTCATCTAGTAATTAGAAGGTTGATGGTTCAATCCCTGGCTACTCCAGTCTGCATGCCAAATATTCTTTCGCAAGATAACCCCAAGTTGCTTTCCAATGTATCTATTGTGTGTGTAAATGTTAGATAGAAAGCGCAGAAAAAGAAATGGATCGGTGATTGTGGCAGGTTGTAAAAAGCACTGTGAGTGGTAAGGTAGAGTAGAAAAATATGCACAGCAGGTCAGTTAAACACACAAAACTGTACTATGAACATATAATGAGTTGTTTACCCATTTTTTAGGAGCAGTACCAGTTCTTGTACAAAGCCATGCTGAGTCTCATCGGGACACAAGAAGACAAGAAAACTCAGTCCTTTGACGCTAACGGGACCATTGTGACAGAAACCACCAGCATGGCTGAAAGCATTGATTCCCTGGTGCCAACGAATAAATAAAACCAACAAAAAAATACTACACTTTTACAAATGAGCAACAGCATTTCGTCCCTTCCCTGAAACCGCCAACAGAGCTGCTAGTGAATCCAGACTCTCGCTACAATCACTCAAGAAATCTTGTCATTCAAGACTCTGCCTTTTGTAGATTGAGACTGGTATGAGTTTCCTCTATACAGTTTTGTAATGTGTGCCTTTTTGCTCATCTTGGATTTCTAACTGTGATATGAGCTGTAGACTAATTGTTCAATGTTTTTAATGCTGTACTGCCCTGAGACTAACTGTCAACGCCAATCTTATATTTATTGGCGCTGAGCCAAATGTGGGGAAAAAGGGAAAAGCCGCATCTTTTGACATCAAATGTTAAGGTCAAAGGAAAGACTCTTTGTCAGACTCTTTCAATATTGATTTTGTTAATGTGTCTTTAACAGAGTACTTGCTCTGTTAAATGTAAATTCTGTTAAATTGGTGTAGCATGCTGAAGTCAAATATAAAATAAGGGTATCGAATAGTAGATTAATGTACTGTAAATAATATTATAATAATACCCTGAATGGACCAAATTTCTATTTATGCTTTTCACCTTTGCTTTTATTTTTGAAAGGTTTAATTCTAATTGCCTAGCTGCTTTTATACTATGGATTTTGTAACAGTCATGCATGGGTACTGACCTTTTTGTTTTTTTGGTTTGTTTTTTAGCTATAAAGGAATCGCTGCTGGCTTATTAGCTAAGGGATTAAATAAGGGAAGGAACACCAAAGAGAGCCTGTGAGAGTGTTTTGTTACTGTGTGTTGAACCACCAATATACCTGCAAAGATGCAACAGACACATGAACTATTAGAGGTTTGCTCAGAAGTTAGTTAAATACACTGTTTTGCATACAAGTGATGTTGGAAATTTCCAATTTAAACATTTGGTACCAAGATGATGTATTAAGTCCATTGTAGACAGCAATTAGCAAAACTGTAGATTAGCAGAATGAGTTTCAGCTCATTAATATGCAGCCTTACAGAGAACCAACAGGAGGCAGGTCAAAGGTCACAAGGTCCAGACAAAAGGAACAAAAATGAGGAGAAACGGCCTTCTGTGAGCCTGACAGGGGAGAGATGTTACTGAATCAAGAAACACCGAAAATGGAGACATACCCAATTCCATTTCTAATAATGATTCTTGTCTGTGGATTATACAATTCCCTTAACAGAGTCATGGGCTAATCCCTGGTTATTTCAGTTGATTTTTGCATGTGTTAATCCAGGCTAAGACACTGTAAGAAATGTGCCTTTTCAGGACAGAAAATAGGTCAGTGTCCAGACGTTGTATCCACATTTTAATTTGCATTTTTGACTTTTCATGAATACAAACTTAATTGTTCTCTGCTTGGTGCCCTACTTTATATAACTGCCTTTAAATCAAGAAGGAGCAAAAACGCTGATCATCTTTTTCTGAAGAGTTGAGCTCAACTAATTAAGTGATCAGAACCATGTCACAAATATAAAGGTCACAAAAAGCAATACAGGTGCAAAAGTCTGTATTACGCAATAACTGTTTTTAATATCTTAAAGCTTTGTGCTAACAACTACCAGCCATAATTGTAAACATATACATACTGTGTATTGATGCAAAAGAAATTGTGTGCTGCAGCCTTTATCATTATTTGGCCTCTTTTGGTGTCAAGATGATATATTAAGTCCATTCTAGGCACCAATTAGCAAAGCGGTAGATTAGCAGAATGATTTTCAGCTCACTGATATCCAGCCTTACAGGGAACCAATGGGAGGTAGATAAGTAAGTAATCAATAAAAAGATAAGTAAGGGAGAACTAGTGCGTGAAATGGACAAATCTAGAGTGTGGAAAGTTCTGAAGATAACAAGGAAACTGATTGCAGCTGTAGACCGTCATAATTCTCTTCCATTTGGGTCTGTGGGTGATATGTTCCTGTTGTGGTTGGGAAGTGAAGGACTATAGCATAATAACAATTATATTTATTATATTGTGCATATTAGGACACAGTATAAGGTACGTCTGTGTGTTTTTGAATTTTGCTGGTAGTGCACTTCATTCTTGATTAATTTCTATTGGAATTTAATTCAAATCTTTATTCTGAGCTTTCTCAACAAATTCTATTGAATATAATGATATCCCTAAAATTCATTAAAAAAAAAATCATCCTGGCTAGTTGACATTAAATTCTCAGTGGATGGATTCTCAATTGATTTAAATGTTAGCACATTTGCAATTAAATTATTGCACTGTTTGCACTAAGATCCAAGCATTACGAACACCAAGGCCTCAAACAACACCAATGAATAAGGAAATCTTGTGGAGAAAAGGTCTTCTGCAAAATGATTCTGTAGTGCTCTAAGCTTAAAAATAAAATTCAAAAAAGCTTAAAAAATAAAAAAGGTCAGTTATGGATATAGTAAAAAAATCCAACGAAGAAGAAATTAAAAATATCAGACTGTTACATTTATAATTTAAATGTGACAATCTGAATCTATAAATAATGAATGAGAAATACTTCACATAATAATTTTATTCATGCAACCATTATTTTATAAATCAAAATATCAGAACCATCTGATTGTTTTTTACTAATCAAATCTTTGATTATTGTGAAGGTCAATCAAAAAGACAAATAAAAACCATTTGTTATTATTCAGTGTCATATTCTTGTTACTAACAGATTTAACATGAACACATGAAACTGAACCACCTTAAAAATACCACCTAAAAATACCATGTGGTACTTCTAGCTCGCACTACAGAGGACGAGCGACTCTAAATCTTAAACATTGCATATTGTGGTTCCGTGCACCATAGGGAACATGGTAAACCATTAAAACTGATCTTATAGTATGTATCTATCTCTCTCATTCATATATATATATATATATATATATATACACACACACACACCTGCCTGCAGAACACTACTTTAACTACTGATTATACTCACTTTTCTGTTTAGGTTTAGAGAAAGAAAAAAAACAAACATAAAACATGTCATTTAGTGTATTGTCTGATAGTAACGTCTAATTTAACTAGAACACATGAAACCGAATCACATTAAAAATGACAATCTGAGCTTGCTGTGGATGCAAAATCCAAGTTCTACAGGCCAAACAACAAAATGCTTTTTTTAAAGCCTTGTCAACACCTATCACTAACACAAATATATAATAGACACAAATATCTCTCAGGTCAATGTGAAATCTACCTACCTTACAGGAAGGACCTCTGCTGCTGAGGATAAATTCATCCGAATCACCAGCCTCAGAAATGACAAGTTAACAGCATCTCAGATTAGAGCCCAGATAAATGCCACACAGCAGATACATCTCTACATCAACTGTTCAAAGGAGACTATACGATTCAGGCATTTATGGTCAAATGAAACCTCTACCAAGGAAAAGCAACAAGCAGAAGAGATTTGTTGGTGCCAAGAAACACAAGGCATGGACATTAGACCAGTGGAAATCTGTGCTTTGGTCTGATGAGTCCAAATTTGAGATCTTTGGTTCCACCAGCCGTGTCTTTGTGCGACACAGAAAAGGTGAGTGGATATTCTCTACATGCATGATTCAAACAGTGAAGCATGGAGGTGTTTTGGTGTGGGGGTGCTTTGCTGGTGATACTGTTTGGGATTTATTTAAAAGTGAAGGCACACTGAACCAGCATGGCTACCACAGCATCCTACAGCAACATGCCATCCCATCCAGTTTGTGTTTAGTTGGACCGTCATTTATTTTCCAACAGCAAAGTGACCCCAAACACACCTCCAGGCTGTGTAAGGGCTGTTTGACCAAGAAGGATAGAGTGCTGCGCCTGATGGCCTGGCCTCCATAGTCGCAGTCGTCTCAAAAACGCTCCACGTCCACACTAGCGTTTTCAGTCGTTTTCACAGAGTTGTGCGTCCACATTGAAACGCCTGAAAACGCTCACGTTCCAGTACTGTGCATGCGTGAAACGCAAGACGATTCGGCCTGCCTCATTTCTGTCAGCCATTTATTTACTTTCCAGCTCTTTGAAACATTGCGGCAAAATGTCAAAGAAAAGCACCGAGTTTTTTAATTGGACTAACAATGAGGTGGAGTTGTTGCTGCGAGTAACACAAAAGTACAAAGTTGCAAAAGCGAGTGAGAATTAAAGAATTTGAAGTAAAGCTATCTGGAGCATGTACAAAACTGACATTAATCTTTAATAGGGCTGTCAAAATTAAGAGCAAACAAAACAACTGCAAATGCCCTCCGCTATCTTTATTTAATTGGTCACTTAACTGCATCACATGAAGTCGTGTAGTGACTTCAGTTAGCACTAGCTTGTGACTCCTTGAAGCTGGATTTGTGTGTACTACCAGTTTCAAGCAGAGATCTTTCTTGTGTAAGTTGAATGTGTTAACCACTACACAAAGTTCTCACTAGTCTTTTGACTCTAATGGGGGACAAAATTTACAAAATCTGTTTCATGTTGCTTTCAATAACTACCGACTGTTATCAGTCAGTAAAGTGTTCGCTGAGGTCACAAGAGGGTAATTCTAGACTTCAATAGAATCACACACAAAAAGAGGAGTTGCCCTCTGGCAGCCATTAGAAAGAATGCAGGATAAAGGCACTTGGCGCTGAATTTAACACCTCCACCAAGCCTGAAATGGAATGAAAGAACAGTTGTCAAGGTAACAACCACACACATGCACATACATAAAAGAAATTGCTGGATTTATCAGATGGTACTGGGAGCATTATTTGGCAATGGAAAAAGGATTGCCCACACAAGAAGGTACAACAAGGTAAACAAAACAATCTACAATGCTTCCGATAAAGTTTTATTGTGAATTCAAAAAAATCAGGGAGCAAACAACCTTCCTGGGTAGGCATGTTAGAGTATTATTATAAACTCAGAATGAAAGCAGGTAGGTGAGCCAGAATCTGTCTGAAGAGTTTAAAGGTCGATTAATGACATGAAATGTAGACAGGATTAGAATTTACAGTGATTTGCTCTTCTTGATGTTGTAGCTCTACTCCTGCAGGGTGCTTTTGGAAATGAAGTGTAGTCCTTCCTCTTTCAGCCGGGCCAGCACTGGTTCGTAGATCTCTTTCACCATTGGAACCACCAGACCCTTTGTATTGATTTCACCTACAGAGTAAGTATAGAGAGCCGGTAACATTATATTCTCAAGTATTTATCTAATATTCAGTGAATGAGGTTGGTGACTAAATTTAGTTTGAACATAGTTTGAATGCTCTCTGTAAAGTGAAAGACCAACGAAAATGAACATTTTTGAAAAGTGAAATCACTAACCGTTAAGAACCATCCGAGCAGCAATGGCTGCTGGGTAACCAACAGTCTTGGCCATGGCTGAGAAGCCGGTGGGGTCGCCATACACCACCAGGCTGATGTGTTTGGTCTCTAGTTCTCCAGTTGGATAGCGAACCCCCACATCGTTTCTCAGAATGATCATGTCTCTTTCTCCCTTATCTGATGACAAGAGGCAATAGTTCTTTTTACACTTGGTGTCACATTTAATACTCCTGTTCTTTTAATGTGGTATTAATGAGCTCACCGAATGAAAGTTTAGTTTCCAAATGTTTTGCAAGGGCAGCCAAAATGCTCTCTGCATGGGGCACTAGCTCATCGCCAAGCATCCCTAAACTGCAGAAATAAAAAAAATGGTTATTAAAATAACATAACCATTACAAAACAATACTTAGGGCTCGAAAGATAATTACTCTGCCCTAATAACCCCACACACTGCAGCGGC